GGAGAAATGGGAAGGCGCCGTTCTCTCACTGCTACTGCAGTCCTGCTTACTGGAGTCACACAGCTTCGGCTTCCAGTGAGATCTCGTCAGAACACAGAAGCCACCACTTCTTGCTTCTCTAGTGGCAGCAGCGATGAGTGGCTCATTGCCATGGGAAAAGTAAGGTGAAGCTGTAGCAGCAGCAGCAGCAGCAGCAGCAGCAGCAGCAGCGAAATCTCACAAGAGTTCAGTCGCCGCTGCTTCTTTCTGCTTCTCTGGCAGTGGTGTGTGTGTGTGTGTGTGTGTGTGTGTGTGTGGTGCCACGCTCCCAGGATTCTACCACCTGAGGCACCTTCAGAGGTTTCTCTGAAGGGATTCTGGGAATTGTGGTCAGACTCTTTTAGTAAAAACATCTCACTTTCCAACCGCAAAACCACAAGTCCCACAGATCCTCAGGTGGAAGCCACAATGAGGCTGCTTTTTACCAAGGGCATAGCAGCCAGAGCTGCCACTGAGATCAGCTACGGGCTACTGCTCTTACCCATGGCCAGAATCTGCAAAGGCAAAGCTGTATTACAACGGCTGTCACTCTGAGGTTGCTTCCCCTCTTCCCAACCTTCCCCTTTCCCTCCTGCATCATGTCTTTTGAATGTGAGCCTGAGAGGAGGAACTATCTTAGTGCTGGCAAAGCAAAAGGTTGGGCAGCTGGCTTGCTTCGTTAACAATAACACATCCAGATTTGGGATGGATAAAAGAAAGTACGTCTTCATATTATGCATAGCTATGCTATGGAGCTCACTCCCACCATCCTAGGTGGCTTTAAAAGAGGATGAGACAAATTCATGGAGGAGAAGGCTATCAGGGGCTACTAGCCAGGACAGCTCTTCTCTGGCTTCATGCTCAGGGGCAGCAATGCTCCTGAATCCCAGTTGCTGGAAACCAGAGGAAGGGAGAGTTGCTCTTGTGCTCACCTCCTGCTTGTGGGCCTCCCATTTGGGCATCTGGTTTGCCAAGGTGAGAACAGGATGCTGGGCTACATGGACCGGGAGTGAGAATGCTGTTCATATTTTATCTGTGCAAACCTACCAAGATGCTTGAGGAAAGGGCTTAGCTATCCACTGTTTGCATGTATCTTATTTGAAATGGGTTTTTTAAAAGTCATTTACAAGCAAAGGGCAGATGTTCTCCATTCTATTGAGCCTGAGTCACGCATTCATTTTGCCTGGGGTTTAGCAGGAGTCAGTGAATGACGTAGTGTCATGCTGAAAAGATTAAACAGCACCAGCATCTGTGACAGTAGCAGGCTTGACTTCCAAGGTTCTTTCCCTATATAAGGGCTAGATAAGTGTCTGGATCATCTAAGAACAGGATGCTGAACTGAATGGACCACTGTCTGGTGCTCTTCTGGCAATAAATCTCTGCTTGGATTTGGACCACATTAGATTCTGTGGAACTTCACATAAGAACGTGCCTCTTTCCACATCAAAAAGGGTTCCAGCCTAGAACCTTTTTATTTAAAAAATGTGGCAATAACTCCCACTCCCACCTCTTCTCCTAAATAGTTTTCTTTGGGCAGGGGTCTTGTTTTTTCGTGGAGTGGCTTCCAACCGTATCAGCCCACCCCTGTACCTGTGTGGTTCAGACACACCTCTAATGTCCTCTGGGAGAACAAAGTCTCCCTCTCGGTTCTGTGCTAAATGACTTGCCTTAGAGAGTGATTGCGAGGGATTGTAAAACCCAGTCAAGGTGCTGTTGTACAGAAGGCTCCCCAGGAAGTATTAATTCTTCCGTGCCCTTTACAGCATTCAATAAAACTACATTGAGGCTATATTTAGACAGGACAGATGCCCTGGGAGGGGCTTTTAGATTCGCAGGGCACAGTTCAAGGGAGAGGAAGAAGGCCCTTTAAAAGGGGAGAGCTATAAAATTACAGAGTGAAGCTCCATGAAGAAACTAAATATTTATTTCTCTGAAAGCAATCAGGGTGGAAAACGTTTGTTTTTTAAAGCACAAAACACAATTTAACATTTGTAGAAAAAGGCACTTGAACCTTCCAGTGCACACTTTCCAATTTACAGTGGATCAGGTCTTGCAGAACTTCCTGCCCACGGCCCAAAATTGGTTCACAAGGCCATTTTGTCCAAATCAGTGGAAAGTGGCAGCAGTAACGGCCGTGGCCTGTGAGGCCTTGCGGCAGTGATAGAGAGTGCTGGCAGTAGCAGTGGTGGATTGTGAGGACTTGCAGAAGTAGTTGCCAGGACATTGTTCTGTTTGCCTCTGCGTAGTTCCTTCCTTATTTCATGATATATATCATATCAGGATATATCACAATATTTAGCAGATGATATATTGTGATATTGAAAACCAGTTATCGCCCAGCCCTACTTTAGAGGTTGAGCGTGTGTGTGTGTGTGTGTGTGTGTGTGTGTGTGGTCCTGGAGGCAGAAGAGTCACTGTCACTGTCACCCTCCTATGTAAAAGAGTTCCTGGACTTCCTAATTTTAAAATGCTGCTTCTTGCCAGCTGCACTTTCCATAGGCACTTGTCTTACTAATAAGCTCTGAGACATTTGCTTTCCAATTAATCAGCACCAGTTATATAAGGTAATTCTATGAAAGTTTATTCTGAAACAAGCTCCATTGAGTTCAATGGGGCTTACTCCCATGCAGCTGTGTACAGAACCACAGCCTTAATCAACTAATTAACTGGTTAAACATTGTGGCCCTAGGATATAGTGAAACCACTCTCGAGCTCCACCTTCCATGGTATTTTTAACATCTTAAATTGCTGCTAACTTCTTGTTCCCTAATTAAATGCATCCATCTTTGTAGATTATTTCCATAGATCAAAACCCCATAACTGGCCATCAAAATTGGGTAATCATTTCAAAATACTGCAGCTGCTGATTTAGCTGGGCTGGTTTCATCCTCTTCAACCCCCCACCCAAAAAAAACCCACCCTAACACATTTTATTTATTTATTTCATTTCTACCCCAGCTCTTCCTCCAAGGAGCTCAAAGTGATGCATGTGGTTGCCCCCCTCCTTGTTTAATCCCCCATAACCAGCCCTGAGAGGCAGGCTAGGCTGAGAGGCAGTGACTGGTCCAGGGTGACACCCAGTGAGCTTCATGGCTGAGTGTGGGATTTGAACCCCAGTTTCCCAGGACCTGGCCCAACACTCTAACCACTAGCTCTCTTGCCCAAGAGTGGTAGGATGTTACACAGATGAGCAGAGCAGGTTTACGCTCAGAATTTCAAAGTGCGGCTACACCACCTGTACCTATTCAGCTTTGCAGGGAAGGAAGAAAACACAGTGACTGGCCACAGTGGCTGGCACCCATCTGGACTCACGGGGCGGAAGGCAGGGAGCCGAAACAGTAATTAGAGCCAGTCAGTGCCAAGAGGAGAGGCAGAACCAACTAGTTTTGTCCCCATCTCCCCCCTCCCTGCTGACTTTCCAAGGGCAACCCCAGGAGCAGGAGGAAGCGGACAACCTTGGCCAATGCCACCCCCTAGGCTGGTTGAGGTAAGAAGGCAGGCAGATAGGTGGGGGCTGGATGAGGGCGACTGAGGTAGCTCTACATGCTGCAATGGACCAGCCACCACGGCCAGCAATGCTTCAGATTCTTTGTTTTAAAATTAATTAAAATTAATATGGATCTCGCTCCCACAGGAGGTAATGTGGCCACCAACCACAAAGATGACTTTAAAAGAGAATTGGCTCCCTCCTCCAAGAATTTGTCTATCAATGGCTGCTAGCCATGATGGCTAAGCTGTGACTTCACAGTCGCAGGCAGAAATGCTTCTGAATATCAGTCGCTGGAAACTGCAAGAGAGCTCCTGTGCTCGAATCCTACTTGTGGGTTCTCCACAGGGGTCTGGGTGGCCTGATCCAGCACGCTCCCTTAATGTTCATAATATTGTATGGTGTTATTGGGTGTTCAATGTGATAAAGCACTTTGTGAAGCATGTTATTTAAGAAGCCATTTCATAATATTTTAAATGGATATAAACACACAAATAAGAAACGACGTAGGGACGCAGGTGGCGCTGTGGGTTAAACCACAGAGCCTAGGACTTGCCAATCAGAAGGTCGGTGGTTCGAATCCCCGCGACGGGGTGAGCTCCCGTTGCTTGGTCCCTGCTCCTGCCAACCTAGAAGTTCGAAAGCATGTGAAAGTGCAAGTAGATAAATAGGTACCGCTCCGGCAGGAAGGTAAACGGCGTTTCCGTGCGGTGCTCTGGTTCACCAGAAGCGGCTTAGTCATGCTGGCTACATGACCCGGAAGCTGTATGCCGGCTCCCTCGGCCAATAAAGTGAGATGAGAGCCACAACTCCAGAGTCGGTCACGACTGGACCTAATGGTCAGGGGTCCCTTTACCTTTACCTAAGAAATGACGTAAAAACAGCAGGTGTGTCCCTGGCATTACTTGAATCTATGCCATGGTTTCCCAGTCAGGGACTATACTGTCCACAAACATTGCATGTGGAGGCAGCCAATGACATTGCCATGATCAACTTCATGAGGAGCCAACAGCTGCAGATCCACTGTAAAGAGCCACTGTTATTGCTGGCATGCTGCTGGTATGATAGAGATTAGTGTGTGGCAAAACTAGGCTGTGCCCACTCTCTGCCCTGTGGGTGCAACTTGCCAGCATAAATCTACATTGGGGGAGTTTAGCATCAGCATGGGGCAGGGTGTCCAGTGGTGCAGATGGAGTTATTTTGGTAGAATGACACACAGATTCTTAATGCTACTCAGCTAGTAGACCTTCAGTTTCTTCCTTCGTTTCGTTGGAGGAGAGACCACAGGCAATGCAGTACAATCACTTCCGGACAACCTGTTTGTTCAGCATTCACTCTGACTTGATTGTACAAAGAATGCAGGGTGGGAGGTTCTACAATGTTGTGTGTCTAAAGAGCACTGATTCTGATTTGTTAGTTTAGAAGCTAAGGTGGCATACATACTTCTCCGCCACAATAACCCTACGGGGGGCAGGTCAGGCTGAGAGCCAGCGACTGGCCCAGGGGTTAGGGATTTGAACCCTGGTCTCCCAGGTACTAGTCCAGCATGCTAACCACTACACCGTACTGGCTCTCAATTATACAACTGTGACTATACAGTGAGGTTATATGATGTTAGTTCAAGCAATCATCATTTCAGATATTCAGTGCATCTTCCCCTTCACGGTCCTTATTGCAAACTGTCTGGGGTGGTGGGGTGGAGGGGTTTTTTGGATATAGGTTTTGTTGCACAAGAAAGCCAAATATGATATTGTTGTTGCTATTATTAAAATTTGTATACCACCCTTCATCTGTAGATATCAGGGTGGTTCACAACATAAAAATACAATATAAAAAAATACATGATAAAAATAAAAATTACACAACCTGCATTTGACAGCAGGTGAATGAATCCACCCTGGAATGTACTGGTGGTGTGGAAGTCTTCTATGTCTCTGACTGAATTTGCCAGGTATGTGGTTCAATCCCACTTGCAAAATAACTGACAGCCTGATTGACAGTTCTGTTTGAGTGGATTGCTTGCCCATCCTGTAGAAGAGGAGTGGGAAATTTGTGGGGGTCTCCAAATACTATGCTTGATTGCATGCAAGCTCTTCTGGGCTTGAAGGACAGGGCACAAATGCCCTGACCATCATCCCTGACCACTGGCCATGCTGTTGGGAGTCCAACAATCTCTGCAGGGCCACAGGTTCCCCATCTTTGCCAAAGAACGGGATAGCACCATAAAGCTTTCTATTTGGAAGTCTTTTCTCAAAGGGCACCAAAAGCACTTTCAGCTTTCCTTATATAAGCCATTTTTAATGGAAAATATATCACGACCCTCAGGGTGCATACTGGAATATAAAATGGCTTTCTGTCCCGATAAGAACTATTTCGCTCCTCCACCCTTTGGGCTCTGCAGGGGAGTAAGCTTCGCGTCCCCTTCAGAGTTCTGCCCGCGCCTGCCGACCGCCAACTCCGAAGCAGCGCGTCTAGCCCCGGCGCCGCACTCCGCACGCGCTCAGGAACCCGACGCCGCAGCGCGTCTCCGGCAGGCGGGGATCCTTGCGCCAGCCCCTCCCGGCTCAGGCGAGCATCGTGCGGTTCTGCACGCCCGCCAGCCCCCGGCGGAGTGACGACGCCGGCGAAGGCGGGGCAGCGCAGGGCAGGGCGGCGCGTCGAGTCCTCAGCTCAACCTGGGAGCCGGAGCGCCATGTGCGCGGCGGGTCAGAGCGGGATGCGGTGCCTGGAGGGGCGCAGCTAGTTTCCGATGTTGCACTTGCAGGACAATAAAGAGCCCCAATCCCCAAACTGGCCTCTCTGCTGCCGCGCCTTTAGGGCTCCTTTTGCTCAGCCGCCCCGCGCAAGATGCCCAGGGCGAGAAAGCGCCCTCGTGGCCCGGGAGGGGCAAAGGGAAGGGCCGGATGGGGCATTGGACCCATTCGGATACCCGAGGCTATGCCCAAGCGGGCGCTTGTGTTGTTTTCAGCGCCTGGGCACGGATCCTGGAACTTGTGTCCGAGTAGAAGCGCCTCGCGTGGGGCATGGGTGGGCGGGGGACAAACGGAGCCACAACGTCCCGGGCGCGTTTTTCCTTGGGGAGCCTCGGCTGTGGGCGGGGCGGGCGCTGCACTCTGCGCTCGCTCAGGAGCCTGCTGCCGCCCGGGTGGGCCGCTGAGATTTCCGAGCAGCCGCCTTCCTCCTCCTCCTCCTCCTCCTCCTCCTGCTTCGAGGCTGAGGCTCCACACACCCTCCGGCCGGGGCCAATGGGAGGCGCCGGGCAGGGCGCGTCACGCGGGAGCCGGCAGGGGAGGATGGCATCGCTGGCGAGCCTCAAGAAGCCACTTGGTTCCCGCGCCGGGTAGCCAGGCAGGGCCGCCTCCGCCTCGTCCTCGCCGCCCTCTCCGGCTCCGGGGCTCCGGGCCCCAGTCTCGCCGCGCCATGATCGCCTCCCACTTGCTGGCGTACTTCTTCACCGAGCTCAACCACAGCCAAGTGCAGCGGGTGAGGGCGCGCCGGGGCCCCGCCGAGGGACCGGCCGGGCTGGGCGAGGGAGCGGGGCGAGCACGTGGGGGCAGCTCGGGGGCCGCTCGGGAAACGGCGGCGCGATTATGGGCTCAGAGGGACGCGCGAGGAACGTTTGCTTGCTTTTCAAGCTGGAGCGTAAAAGCGGGGAATTCCCGTCTGCGCGGGAGACGCGGAGATCTCGTGAAAGGGAACCCAGGGACCTCTCGTCTTGGGTGGGTTGGGCGGCTCTGGGCGCCCCGTTTCCCGGGACAGGGGGAAGGGGCGGCGGCGGCGGCGGCTGCAGCTACGATCTGACCACTGCGCGGAGAGAAATAGGATTATATTGGTGGGGTCTTTGAGCAAGGCGCTCTTTCCAGCTTCCACGTGGAATGCAGATGGGACATTTTCTCCCCTTCCGTTGGGGGGAGGCTGGACTATGGCCTCCCCCCCCAATACTCAAGTCTGTTCCGTTCTCCAAACTTTCATGTACTGCAGAGGAGAGCGCCGCCCTCCTCCACGACTATCTGGAAGAAATGGGGTCCCAATCCTGCTTTTTCCTTCTCGATAGTTACTCCCTTCAGTGGTTCAGGATGGAGGGGGGAAAGTCCATGCCGTGATACGATTGGAAGAAAGCCGCCCCTCCCCCCCCCCCCACAGCATTTTGGGGCTACTCCTTCCCCGGCCTCTTCCAGTCTTTATGATGCCAGGAGCGGGTAGTGGTGATGGAGGGATCCCGGATGATCTCTCCCCCCCCCCGGCAGACAACAAAGGAATCTGTTTTCACTTAAAAATTACGCCCCGCCTCCTTGTGGCATCCGCTTCCGTGGACCTCAGCCTCGAGGCAGTGACTTTTTAAAACCTACCTTTTTAGAAGCTTGCTTAGTTCTGAGAACTTTAGGCATTGGGAAAACTTCTTTTTTTAGCCTAGCAACTCTGAGGGAGAGACTGGTGTGTGTGGTTGGAGCCTCGGGAGCAAGATTAATTGTATTTAAATACAGATGACTTGAGTTTGCAGTAGCTTAAAATAATAGCATGCCACATGAAGATTTATAGATGTGGACATGCTTCTACAGAGCCTATACTGATGCAAAGCTTTTGTGTCGTATTTCTTGAGTAAACCTGCGCAGGATTGCCACCTGGTTCTGTGCTGGCTTTTCGTTTCCAATGCCCAGGCTTAATCTTGGCAAGGGGCATGTGCAGAGTGGAGTGCAGCTGCCCGTAATGATGCAGTATGCATCCATTTGGGGTTTTTAGGTACCTATAAGGTTCCATGTCAGCCGGATCGTGACCTCTTGGCTATCAAATCTTGCAAATGCCTTTCTGACACTGAGCAGCAGATGGCCACGGAAGGCAACCTCTTTCATTATAGCTTGCTAGTGGCTTCAATGTGCCAACACTCTGAGTGCCCACAGCAGCAGCGTTTGGACGTGGGTGACCTGCTGCCAGCAGGACCAGCCCAAACCCTCTGATCCTCAAGGCAGAACATCCAAATGGCCCCTTTGACCAAGCAGCGTCAGGGGCAGGCTGTAGAGCGACTGCTGTGCATGCAGAAGGTGCCAGGTACAGTCTCTGGCATCTCCCAGTCTGAGGCCCTGAATAGTCACTGCCAATCAGTGTCAACAATACTGGGCTAGATGGACCAGTGATCTGATTGCTATTTTGCAGGGAGACATTTTCCTCAGCCTCTTCCCCATCACAGTGAGTGGGGGGACTTGTACGCAGGAGGATGTCCCCCGGGGGTTGTGCATCCTGGCTCAGATCTGCCTGCCCCCTCACGACTCTACTTCACAGTGTCCCAGATGTGCTGCCTGCAGAAGCCACTTTGTCCTGCCTGCTGGCAAGCCTTGCTGGCTTGTGTGCAAACAGAGCTGAAGCAAAGCAGCTGTTGCCTCCCAACAGGAACTGATGCAAGTGGGACACTTCTGCTTTTGGATGGCTTACTATCTAGATCAGGGCAGTCTTAACTTTTCATACCAAGTGAGAGTACTTGGATACAAAACCCACGGCTGCACTCTGCCTTGCTGCGTGGTGCTGGTGGTGGGGAAGCAAGGCCAGAATTTGATGCCTGCATGCTGCCTTCCCAAAGCTGGGAAAGCACTAACTAGGCTTTGGGAAGGTGGCCTGAGGGCTAGGAGGGGCATAAGATGTTGCTGAGGACTGCCAAAAAAAGGCCTCTGCTGCATGGACCACCGTGATCTAGATGATCCCTCAGACAGACACACACAGCCTGTCAAAGTCACACAGGGAAAGGGCTGCCTCTGCTGCGCTTTTGATCTTGGGAAAACCTTTTCCACTCCTCTCTGCTCCAATCCCTTCATTCCAGTGTTGGACTGTTCCAGCTTTCCTCCTTCCTGTGACTCCAGAGTTGCTGAGGAAAAAAGAGCTGCTGGCATCTCCCTTTTTCCCTTGTGGCCCAGGGCTGACTTAAGTTAGGAAATCTTAGTGAGAATTACTGTGGTACCTCTGGTTATGTACTTAATTTGTTCCAGAGGTCCATTCTTAACCTGAAATTGTTCTTAACCTGAGACACCACTTTAACTAATGGGGCCTCGCACCGCTGCTGTACAATTTCTGTTCTCGTCCTGAAGCAAAGTTCTTAACCTGAGGTACTATTTCTGGGTTAGCGGAGTCTGTAACCTGAAGCGTCTGTAACCTGAGGTACCACTGTATCAGGGTTTCTGAGGAGGAAAAGATCCTTTTTGCAAAGCACGGGGCAGGGCAGAGAAGGTTTGCCCTTTGTGCCAGGGACTTCCGAAAAGCTGTTTTGATATTTTCTTCCCTCTCCTCTAGGTTTGGGGTGTGGGGATGCCCTGCCCTGATGGGAGGGGAAGCACCATCCCGCCACATGTGCAGAAGGTTATTTGACACCAGGCTAAAGGGGTTCCTCTGCTTCCTTTCATTATTTGCTCTAATTCTTTCTCTCCTCCCTTTTCTTGTGCAAGTCTCTAAAATGTTACGCTGGTTTTAATTTCTGTCTCTGGAGGAATGTGCCTGCAAATATGCCAACACTGCATAATTCGTGTCTCCTTTTCTGACCTTGGGTTGAGAAATAACAAATGGAGAGCTCATGTGATCTCTTTCTATTGCTACGAAAGTCGTTATGACAAAGTTATGACAAAGATCACAGATAGCATCAGGGTTGGCTCCTTCTCATTACAGCGTCCTTTGCCCACCTGCTGACCTCCAGACGTTTCAGACTGCAACTTGCATCAGCACCAGGGGACACGTCAACATCATACAACCATGTTGACTGGTGGGAATTGTATTCTGACCAGGAGGTTGGGGAACCCTCAAACCATATCAAGGGAGGATGCCTTCTCCCTTGGTTGAGTGCTCATTGACTCACTCCTCCATCCTCATCTGCCCATCCAAACCTGCAAACAGACCCTACATGTGGGTGAGGTTGATGGGAATTATAGTCCAAGAGCATTTGGAGGTCACCAGTTGGTGAAGGATGTTCTATGCGGATGAAGATGTAACAGAGGGAATGTAGCAGAATTGGCATTCTTCTTTTTGATGGTTTACTTAGTTGCAACCTGGGAACAGCCTGTATGCCACAGCCTGGCCATTCCTTTGATCTTGTTAATTGCTTCTCCCTGTGAAATAATAGTTTGTCCCTCCTTGTTGAGGAGAGAAGGGTCTGAACTTTTAACTATTTTCTGTCCAAAGTGGGTCACTTTTGGAAGTGATTCTTCCACTTAAAATGGACCATGCCTGCAGCAACCAGATCTCATTTGGATAGGTGTAGTTTGGGACCCAGAAAATAAGGAGGCAGGAAAGAATGGGGGGGGGGAAGGTTGGGGGAAGGCACCCCCTTTCTTTTTGTTCAGGACACACCCTGGCAAACCAAACTGCTTGAACCTCAATGGTGTTGCCTACCTTCCCTGCAGCACGTGGTGTGGAAGAAACTTTGGAAACGTATTGCATGCACTTTGTAGAGCCCTTAGTGCAATCAGAGACACAGAACCCCCAAAGGGCATCCTTTTGAGGTAGCCCCTGCATCCTTGTTGGCACATTAGAAAAGGTTGGAGAGCACTTGAGGGCATCAAGTGAGTAACTGCTCTTATGTAATGTGGGACAAAAAGTCCCAGATTCTTACCATTCTAATCCATTGGGTTAGGGATGCGGGTGGCACTGTGATCTAAACCACTGAGCCTCTTGGGCTTGCTGATCAGAAGGTAGGTGGTTTGAATCCCTGCAATGGGGTGAGCTCCCGTTGCTCTATCCCAGCACCTCCCAACCTAGCAGTTTTAAAGCACGCCAGTGCAAGTAGATAAATAGGTACCACTGTGGCAGGAAGGTAAACAGTGTTTCTGTGCACTCTGCTTTCCTTTATTGTGTTCTTTTGTGCCAGAAGCGGTTTAGTCCTGCTGGCCACATGACCCGGAAAGCTATCTGTGGACAAACGTCTGCTCCCTTGGCCTGAAAGTGAGATGAGCGCCCCAACCCCATAGTCGCCTTGTACTGGACTTAGCCATCCGGGGGTCCATTACCTTACCTTTTACCTTAATCCATTGTGTTATTCAGACTTGACCTAGAAGCATCTTGGAAGTACCAGAAATGGGTAAGGCTATTCCAGAGGGACCTGATTGACCAATTGCAGTTTTATTGTGGTTGGTGGAAACCAGCAGTGTGCTGCTTCCAAAGAAAGAGGTGGGCAGGTAAAAATCTCCAGAGGGTTCCAAAGCTGTAAACACAAATCTCAGCTCAGTTGGTGGAACATGAGACTCTCAATCCCAGGGTCATGAGTTCGAGCCCCAGGTTGGGTGAAAATGCCCTTCATTGCAGGGGGTTGGGCTAGATGACCCTCGTGGTCTCTTCCAATTCTACAGTTCTATGATTCTGTTTTCCAGCTTTCCCCAGGGTCTTTCCAGTTCAGAATCCCAGTTCCTCATGAACTGCCCTTGGGACATGCCTGTTGAAACACTGCAGCCATGTTATATAAGTCACTGACTTTTGTTGTTGAGCTATAAACTCGGTTTTTCTGTAATCAAGGGATTCTGTAATGTTTTCCCTCTTTTCTTAATTAATACTTGCCAGTGTTTAGGAAAAGGATCTTCCCCAGCCCTTACTTATGAATGTGATTCATGGACATTTATGCTCTTGCAGAAGTTGCACCGTAAACTGATGCAATTCGAGGTGGAGGAGATGCAAAGGAAAGTCAGTGGGAGAGCGCTTTTGGCTTATAATTTCTAGCAATTCAGGGCATCCATTTGTGTTTACATTGCTGGGATATTGCCAAAGAGGGCACCTGCACTGGCATACCTAGATCACTCTCAAAGTTGAGTTTCATTGCCAAGAAGTTTAGCATCATTGAGCAGAGTCTGCAAAAAGGGCCTGTGAATGAAGTCATCTATCCACAGAATAGTTTCTATAATTAGAAGCACACTTACTAGTGAGTAAACCCCTGAACTTTGTGAGAATTTGAGGGTAAATGTGCATAGAGATGTGCAGTGAAGCAGCAATCGTATGCAGACTTCGCTTTGGAGCAAGCCCAATTGAACTCAGTGATATTTACTTCTGAGTAAACGTGCATAGAGGTGGACTATAATAGATCCTTGCTGTGCCTCAATCTTTGCCTGTTCTCTCTAAAGCTAGTGATTTTGGTTGAGGGAATCAAGCAAGCCAGCAAGTTGAGACAGGATCGGAATCCAAGTCTTTCAAAATCTAAACCCTTCCTGGCAGAACCCAACCAAAACCTACAAAGATGCTGACTAAGATGATGTTTGTGGGTCTATAGCAGGTTGATTAGTTTGTTGGGATAGTTCTTAAGTTCAAATCTGCTACAGTGGTACCTCGGGTTAAGTACTTAATTTGTTCCGGAGGTCCGTACTTAACCTGAAACTGTTCTTAACCACTTTAGCTAATGGGGCCTCCTGCTGCCACTGCGCCACCAGCGTGCAATTTCTGTTCTCATCCTGAAGCAAAGTTCTTAACCTGAAGCACTATTTCTGGGTTAGCGGAGTTTGTAACCTGAAGCGTATGTAACCTGAGGTACCACTGTACTTAACTTCGTAAGTCTATCTACGTTTGATAAAGAAGCACAGAAGAAGAAGAAGAAGAAGAAGAAGAGGAGGAGGAGTTTGGATTTGATATCCCGCCTTTCACTCTCCTTCAGGAGTCTCAAAGCGGCTCACATTCTCCTTTCCCTTCCTCCCCCACAACAAACACTCTGTGAGGTGAGTGGGGCTGAGAGACTTCAAAGAAGTGTGACTGGCCCAAGGTCACCCAGCAGCTGCATGTGGAGGAGCAGGGAAGCGAACTCGGTTCACCAGAATACGAGACTACCGCTCTTAACCACTACACCACACTGGCTCTCTATTTTTGGAAAACCAAAGAATTTTAATTTTACCTTCTGGAAATATTAGGTAATGCTAAACAACAACAACAACTGCATGTAATTGGCAATCATTTTTAATGATTTCTATGCAATTGTACACACATTGTACTTACCAAGCAAAACTAAATTACCGTATTTTTTGCACCATAACACTCATTTTTTTCCTCCTAGAAAGTAAGGGGAAATGTCTGTGAGTGTTATGGAGGGAATGCCTACGGGTGGCATGCCTACGGATTTCCCTCCTCTAAAAACTACGTGCGTGTTATGGTCGGGTGCGTGTTATAGAGCGAAAAATACGGTATATTAATTGAACCAAAATATCTTTTGAATTCCCAAGTCATGTTACAACTTTTTAGCACCCCTCATTTTTGGAAGCTGAAAAATTCAACATGCCCTATTCATGCAGGGCTGTCTCCTGGGCCGACCTGGAGATGATGGGGACCTGCATGTAGAGCAGTCGCTCGGCTGCTAAGCTACAGCCTTTCCCCTTTCATTGTTGGCAGTGGCTGCTCTCCCTGCCGAAGGTGTGTCTGAATGCCATGAGGCTGCAGCCGGAGGGCCCAGGCTTCTGCTTGGTAATTGGTTGCTAACTGTGTCCCAGCTAAGAGTTCAGACACAGGCGGTGGTGCTAGCCGAGGGGGGAGATGAACCAGGGGAGGGAGGAACCCGACAAGCAGGAAAGTGACTCATGTTCTGCTGTGAAAGGGCTTTGGGTAACTGTCATGCTTCATTCATGAAGCTACAAGCAGGCCCAGTTTCTTCAGCCCTTGCTGCAGTAGGAAGTGATCTAAAGGCCCGTGGCTCCCCCTCCAAGGCTCTCTGTGCTTCTTGGGGATTGATCCTAAATCTTAGCTTGCTCACCTATGCTTAACGTGTGGACCGTGGTGGGGCAACCACCAGGAAAGTACCGTAACTGTCAGAGCTCCTCCTCTTTAGCATTTTAAGGCTAGTGCGGAACATTAATATGCCAGGATATATTGGTTGCTTGGGGCCACTTTATCTTTCAGAGAGGGGCAGAGGATGATGATGATGATGATGATTAAATGAGGCTCCAGAGAACTCAAATTAACCTGAAGCCGAAGAGCTGTGTGGCTCTCCAAGCAACAGCAGTTCTCAGATGGGGTTTTAGCTGTGACTACAACTGTGCCAGCCCCACTTTTACCGGCCCAGAATATCGAATGTTGATTGGGCTGCAGTCAGCTTTCAGCCATCAGGGGAACTTGTGTTGGGACACATGGCTCTGGGATCCAGTTGTTCTCAGGGTGGGGGTGTGCAATGTGTTTCTCCACATGGTTTACCTAATTGCTGCCCGCTGACTTCTGCGGGACAGTGGGTTGGTGGCTGCATCTGAGGGACTGGGCGAGTGACACATGGCTTGTTTTGCCGTCTTTCTCCATACTTTTCCCATGAGCATTTCTGCGGCGTTTCCAAATGGGTATTCTTACATAAGGGCTTTGGGAGGTTGCTCCACAAACCTGGGATGCATTTGAGAGGTAGCAGCACAAAGTTAACAAGCACACTATTGTTCATCTTTGCCGTTTCATAGCGGAGCAGAGCCACAAGCACCACATGTGATTCTTGTGTTTTTAATTTTGGCAATGTTTCCTTGATTTTGCACAGAACAGCAGAAGGCCAGATTTACAAGAAGATGACATACTTTTTCCCCCTTGAGTTGGCACTGTGGAAATACTCTATAACTCCTTGCATGGGACAGGCTGGTCGCCTGGAAAGATATGTGAAATGGGAGGAGGCAAGATTTACAGGAAGCAGCCAGCCTTCCAACAAGTGTACAACCCCTTCATACTCAAACCGGCAGAGGATTGTGAAAGCCACGCCCAAAGTTCCTGTTCTGTGTCATTTTTGCTCCTACATGTGTAGAGAAATGTGGTTTGTTCTGCAAGCACGTCTTGCCCTGCCCCTCGGTTGTTTGCGTCATCTCTGAGATGGGATGGCAGCAGCAGTGCTGGCTCACTTGCCTGCATAACACAAGGAGGCATTTGGAATTTTTGCATTGTATTGCGTAGAGAAAGTAGAGGAAAGTTTTTCTCCCTCTCATAACAGTAGCATCTGGCTAGCCCCTCCAGCTTTCTTAGGTAGTTAAGCAGAAGAATTTGTTTATTGCATTTATAGCCCTCCTTTTTCTCCAAGGAGTACATGGTTCACCCCCTCCTCAGTTAATCCCTACAACAACCCAGTGAGGTAGGTTAAGAGGCTGTGACTGGCCCAGGGCCACTCAGTGACTGAGTAGGGATTTGAACCCTGATCTCCCAGGTCCTAGTCTGGCACTCTAACCACTACTCCACACTGGCTTCCTGGAGTACCTCTGCTATGGGGCAGCTATATGAATTAAGTAAATAAATAAATATCAGAAAAGCAAAATGTAACTCAGAGAAGGATCTGAAATATTTTCCTTGAAGCTTGAATTTGTTTTATTCTGGATTGCTTTGTTGGTGTTTCAATGTGTTGTAAACCACTTTGAGATTCTTTCTTTAAAACATAAAGCAGTATAGAAATGAAATGAATAATAACAACAATAATAAATCTCACTGGGGGGAAATGGTGCCTTGAGATTCCTTTGTGGCAACCTGGGTTTAAGGTGCTATTTGGCAACTAGATTATATATCTGCATTTCTAACACTGCTTATGTTCTTGTGGAAGCCTCAGGTGCTGGTGGGCTGCTCCTCCACCTCACACCAATGTGACACCCTCTCGTTGCTTCCACTTGTGGCCGAGAAGGCTCTCTAAGAGGCAGCAATTGCACGGGCTGCACCTGTTGGAATTCCTTCCCTGGGAGAGGGAGACTTTCCGCTCCCTGGATGTCAGTTGACCATTCATGTCTCCCTTTTCCTTCTGTGGAGGGCAGCTTTTTCTAAGCCTTGCCTTGTGTTTGCTTAACCTGGCAGGCTCTGGGGTTTTTCTGCGTTCAATAATTTCCTCCTTGGAAGTTGCCCAGACTAAGCCGCAGCAAGGACAGAGTTTCCCCTTTCATTGACATATATTGTGTCTCTGTGGAGTTGCAGCATATGGAATTTGAGATCCGGATGACTCAACCTCTAGCTTAGCTTTTAGCTCTTTCATCGCTGGGGATCTTTTCTGTAAAACTAAACATTGCTACCTCGTGTCGTGAGGGAGGAATTCAGAAGCCGAGGCCTGGGCAAGATCTGGCATTCCTTGACCTGCCTTTCCTGTGAGTCCTGCTTTCTGGACTCTTGCCTCGTAGCCCTCCAACTTCCATGCTCTCGCCCACATCTTCTGCCCTGACTTGTGATCCCCGATGGCTCTCTTTTGTGGAAACCCGGATCTGTGAGGCAGAATGCACGGTGCAATTATTAAGCAAATATTTGCACGGCTGTTTAATGACTAGCCCTGATATGAAATCAGACAAGCAGAACTGGATCAGTTCCTCTGTGAACCACATGAAGTGGTGCGGTCATTAATTTCCATAAATCTATACTGAATAGAGCCTAGCTGTATGCAACAAAGGCAGTCTGCACCTGACTTCTGCAACCTGGCGCCCTCCAGATACTTTGAACTACTACTCCTGTCTGCCCCAGTGCTATATGGCCCTGCTAACTTTCTGGGGTTTCAGGCCGTAGGACAGGGGTAGGCAACCTGGTGCCCTCCGGATGCTGTTTGTTACTTCCCATCATCCTTGAGCACTGGCCATGCTAGATGAGATTGGACCTGGGACCTTCTACATGCAAAGCAGGTGTTCTGCCACTGAGCTACAGCCCTTCCTCTCATACTTCTGTTCCTTTGCCCACTTCTGTTCCCCACTCAGCCTCTGCCAAGCTGATGGGCCAGACAAGATTTGGCCAATTGTCCACATTGCCCAATACCTTTTGTAAGAAGAACAGTTTGTTTTTCAATGTTTTGTTGTTAGAACAGGAACAATTCTCAGTACTCAATAGGCTCGATACTTTTGCTAATTGTAGAGACAAAAGGATCAACACTCGCCCCTAATGCTGAGACTTCAGATGGTGCAGATAGGCATGGTTTTATTCTGAGGGCTCACTTTAAAAACACACGCCCGTCTAGTGCAGAACCCTGCTGTTGCAGTGTGCAACCACTTGCTGTTTCTGGGAAGCCACAGCCAAGCCCCACAGCAGCATTTGCCCCTGCTGTGCTTGTCAGCAGCTGGTCTTCAAAGACATGCTGCCTCTTCCAATAGGGGAGGCAGAATGTAGTTGTGTAAAACACTGGCCACTTTCCTAGAGGCATAGAGATCCCATGATCAGCTTTCCAGCTTTCACTGTCTTTTGACGTGGGCAATAAAATGCATCGTGCCCTTTTCTCCTCAGGCAAGACGGCCCCTGGCACACCCAGAGGCTCCCAACCGGATTCCAACGAAGCAGCGGGTTCTTGCAGAGCTGATGGGCAGCTCTAGGTTTCGTCAGTCTCTGAAATGTTCCGTCTTTATAGCGTAGCACATAAAAGGACAAGCTCATAGGAAACACAGGTCCATGTATAACAGCAGAGCTGTTGCAACAAGCTTTCCTTGGATTCGGGGAAAAGGGTCAGACTTACCTTGTGGCTCTCTCACGGCATCTCTGAGGGGTCTGTGGCGGACTGAGATCACCAAAGACTCAAGGATTAGTGCTGTTGAGATGTCTCTTTCAAATGTCAAATTGACTTCGCTTTCCCCTCTCCTCCCCCAGATTGACAAATACCTCTACCACATGCGGCTTTCAGATGAAACCCTGCAGGAGATCTCAAATCGGTTCCGGAAAGACATGGAGAAGGGCCTTGGGGCGGATACCAACCCTACAGCCTCCGTGAAAATGCTGCCGACGTTTGTGAGGTCCACCCCAGATGGAACAGGTAAACAGCCACCACCCAGGAAAGGGTTAAATTCCTGAGCTCTGGGACCCATCTTGATTGACAATGCTCAGCTATGGAAGATCATAGAACCTTGGAAAGGGCCCACAGGGTCATCTAGTCCAACCCCCTACAATGCAATGGGAGGTGACGATTAAACAGGAGAGTGTCTCTGAGCACGTGCCAAGTGTTTTTTCCTCCATGTAACTGAGACGGTTGGCAGACATGATTCTCTGCAACCACTGGCCACTTTCTAAAGAGACAAGCTTGACCTTCAGCCTCTGAAGCCTGCTGTCCACAAAGGGTGGCGTGAGCTTCCAAATAACTGTTCCTTTCTGGCCTCCATTGCTGGTCTCTTGGCTCTCGTCCACTTAATAGTTTCAAGTTCAAGAAAGAAAACAGTTTTTAGGGAACTAAAAGTAATTTAGGAGGTTTTTATTTATGTGTTTGTTTTATGCCCCACCTTTCCTCAAGTTCAAGGTGGCAGACATGGTTTCCCCCTCCCCATTTTTCCCTCACAACAATCCTGCGAGGTAGGTTAGGGTAAGAGAAGGGGACTGGCCCAGGGTCTGCTGGTAAGTAGTGGAATTCCCAAACCGCGGTGTCTCCCAAGTCATAGCCTAGCACTCTAACCACTACACCATGCCTTCTGCCTATGTGTTTGTGTATACATGCACACATATATTAGACACACTGGATTTGCTCACTGTTGCCTCTGGTCTGACAGGTTTTGCAAGTTTTTGAAACGATGGGGAAATGTGCAGAGCCTCTTCACCTAGAGGCGAGAGGGCAGTGAGCCTGCGCAGTCTGAGCAGATGTCCTACTATTCTGTGTCCCCTTCAGCCCTGCAGAAAAGCCCCCAGCCCCCCCCCCATGGTCTCTCGTGGACTGCACCTCTGGGATGTTAGGTCTGAATTACTCTCAGGCAACAGGGGAACAGAAAGCCTTTCAGTCAGCACCAAAGCTGGCTTCAGTCAGGGAAGTTGGATTGTTTGATGGTTAGCAGCCAAACTGACCCCCTGAAGTTCAGGAAGTCATGGGCTGGAAGCCTCCAGCTTCTCTGCCAGCTCTTTAGTGGGACGTTTCCTGTAAACATCCTTTCTTGGCTTTCTGCTGTTTCCTCAACCTGGTGTCTTCCCAATGCTTTGGGCTTCCATTCCCATCAGCCCCGGCAGTGTTGCTGTGCTTCCCAAGTCATAGGATTGTAGAGTCGGAAGGGAGCCCCAAGGTCATGTAATTGAACCCCCTGCAATGCAGGAATCACAGCTGGTCACTCCTTGTTTTCATGGCTGGGGTGGGAGAGATTTTTCACTCAATACTTCAAAGGTTTGCACATGCGCTTAGGTCCAGTAAAGAGACCATTAGGGACCTTTGCCCGTCTCACAAGGACAGAGAGCAGAAATAAATACTGTTAAAGCAGGTTGAATGTGGCATGAGGCAGGGCTCTATCACTGAACTTGTTAGAATCAAAGAATTGTTGAGTTGGAAGAGACCTCGAGGACAAACCGATTTCTGGCTTATATGTATTCTTTTGTACTGTAGTAAGTTAGCTTAATCATTGTTACTGTGGACCAGATATACAGCGGACGCTTGGGTTGCGAACGTGATCCGTGCGGGAAGCATGTTTGCAACACGCAGCACCGCATCTGCACATGCGTGGGTTGCGATTCAGCACTTCTGCGCATGTGCAAAGCTTGATTTAGTGCTTCTGTGCATGCGCAAGTGCCGAAACCCGGAAGTAACCCATTCCAGTACTTCCGGGTTCGGTGCTGTGCACAATCCGAAATCACGCAACCCGAAGCGTCTGTAATCCAAGGTATGAACTGTAGTAGGAGATATGTGCCAAACCCCCCCCCCCCATTTTTAGCTATTATAATATTAGCAGCAGTCATAAGGTTAGACACTGTTTCATGACCATTTCCCAGAATAACATCTTTTCGATAACCAGGCAGAAATATTTCAGGTGCCATGGGTATATGGGCTCCTAAGGTGCCGGAGATATTGGCCTGAGCCGATTTCCATAATATTTCTATTTGAGAACAATTCCAAGAGATGGGTATGTAATCTGCATTATTCAGTTCACATCTCCCACCCTAACTTAGATATTAAGTTCCATTTATAAGGCGTTGAATACCATTGATGAAGGGCTGCAAAATAGTTTTCCTTTAGGTCTGCTGGAGTTAGAATAGATGTGGGGCAGGGGCATTTTGCAAGTGTGAGAAGGTGAGCGGAGCATCCTAAGGAAGGTGGGAGAATTACAAGGCTTGGGGCTGAAGGGCAGGCTGGGATAGTCTTGTCTTGCTGACTTGGCACCAGGATCTTGACTTGGCACTGGGCTCTTGTGTTCTCGGAAAGGGGCTGGCGGCTGGTCAGAAATGTCCCCTGCATTTGACCCCTCCACATGTTTCTGCTGCCACCCTCCCCCCTCAAAAGCAAGGCCCGGGGTGCCTGGGTTTGGGGCCAGCTGGCTTCTAAGAATTGCCTGGATGAGAACCCTGAGGAGAGGCAGCTCCCTGTCTGGCTGGAGGAGCAGGCTGCCCACATGAACTGTTGCAACACTGGAACCTCCTCTTGAGTTGGCAGAGAGACAGGCCCAGAAATGGGGAAGGGTCATCTGGAGGTGGACGAGGGCCAAGGAATGTGCTGCTTCTGCAAGGAGCTCCAGATGGTTATCTAGGCTTGCAAAGCAAGAAGGGAGAATTTCCGCTCAGGAAACCAAGCTGGGAAGCCTTTGTAAATGGGGTGGGGTGTGGGACGGTGGAACAGGCCGATGACCACCACCCAGAAAAGGGCTCACTGAGCCAGGTCTGAGCTCCACAACCTGTGTGGATCACCAATGCTCAGCTTTGAAAGATCACAGAATTGTTGGACTGACGAGTCAGAAGGGACCGAAAGGGTCATCTAGTTCAACCCCCTGCGACGCAATGGGAGGCGACAATAAAAAGGGAGAGTCTCTTTGAGCATGCACCAAGTGCTTTCTCTACATGTAACTCAGACTTGTCAGCTGACACGTATCCCTCAGCTGCTTTCTAAAGAGAGGGCCCCAGCTATGGGCCTCTGAAGCCTCCTGTCCCAAAAAGATGGAGAGGACTTCTTTCAAATAATCTTGTTCCTTTCCAGTCCTCTTCGCTGGTCTCTCTGCCCTCGTCCCACTTAATTGCTTCATGTTGGAGTCAGAAAATAGTTTCAGGGAGTTGAGTTGGGCCTTGAGTTGGCAGGGGAACAGTCCCACACATGAGGAATGGTTGTTTTAAGACAGACGAGGATCAAGGAATTTGCTATTTCTGCAAGGAGTGTCAGGTGCCTATCTAGGCTTGTAAAGCAGCAAGGGAGAATTTGCTCAGGAAACCAAACTGGGAAGTTTTCGTAAATAGGGGTTAGGGAAATATGTGTCTCTCTCTCTGCTCTCAGTTGAGGGCATTTTCAGCCATATCATAGAATTGTAGAATTAGAAGGGACCCCAGGGGTCATCTAGTCCAACCCCTGCATTGCAGGAATCTCAACTAAAGGCCATCCAACATTTGCTTAAAAACTTCCCATGAAGGAGATTTCACAACCTCCCGAGGAGACCGTTCCACTGTTGAACAGCTCTTACTGTCAGAAAGTTCTTCCTGATACTTTCTTGTAACTTGAATCCATTGATTCAAGTCCTATCCTCTAGAGCAGGCATAGGCACACTCCGGCCCTCCAGATGTTTTGAGACTACAATTCCCATCATCCCTGACCACTGGTCCTGTTAGCTAGGGATGATGGGAATTGTAGTTCCAAAACATCTGGAGGGCCGGAGTTTGGCAGAACCCAATAAAAAACTACAAAGATGTTGACTAATACGATGTTTGTGGGTCTATAGCAGGTTGATTAGTTTGTCAGGGTAGATCAGGCATAGGCAAACTCGGCCCTCCAAATGTTTGGGACTACAATTCCCATCATCCCTGACCACTGGTCCTGTTAGCTAGGGATGATGGGAAATGTAGTTCCAAAACATCTGGAGGGCCAGAGATTGCCTATGCCTGCTCTAGAGCAGGAGATAGACAAGTTGGCTCCATCTTCCATGTGACAGCCTGTCAGGGAACTGACATCGGAGCTAGAGGCGGAGGGAAGGCTCTCAAATGATGCTGGAGAAGGGCCCAGCAGGGAGAGAGGCAGCTCAGCAGATGGGGAAGCAAATCAGCGCAACACCAGGGATAAAGAGGGGCAGATGGGGGAATCAGCGAGAGGGCTCCAGGACTCTTCACCGGACACCAGCGAGGAGAGCACGGGTCCTCCGCTACCCACACCCTCCCTGCGCAGAAGGCTTCCGCGCAGGGAGAGTAGGAGGAGACTTGGCGTCAAACAACTTTTATGTTGGAAAAGGTTTAAGAAACGCCCACTGACGGATTCTGCTAGCGACGGAGGCAGCCACGAAGTGAAGGGCTGTCCAGACAGAAAGGTTTAACAAGGCAACATAGCCAGGAGAGGCGGCAACTTACGCACGAGCAACCCATACTCATTACACAGCCCTTCAGATATTTGAAGATAAGTACCACATCATTTCTCAGTCTTCTCATCTGCATGTTGCACATTCCCAACTCCCTCAACCATTCCTCACAAGGCTTGGTTTCCAGACCCTTGATCATCTTAGTTGCCCTTCTCTGCACACCTTCCAGCCTGTCAATATCCTCCCTAAAACTGAACACAATACTCCAGGTGTGGTCTGACCAAGGCAGAATAGAGCGGGACTATTGTTTCCCTTGACTGGAACACTAGATGTTTGTTGATGTGTATGGATATTTATTTATTTATTACATTTGTATCCCACATTTCCTCCCAGGAGCCCAAGGTGGTGTATATATAGTTCTCCTATTCCTCCTCCTCATTTTATCCTCACAAGAATCCTGTCAGGTAGGTTAGGCTGAGAGTGAGTGACCAGCCCAATATCGCCCAGTGAACTTCATGTCTGAGTGGAGATTTGAACCCTGGTCTCTCCTACTGCCTCCAGCTGGGGGCATATTTGCTGCCTGGGGTGAAGAATGGGCCAGTGGCCCATCTGGTCCAGCGTCCTGCTCTCAAAATGGCCAGCCTGGACTCCCTACAAGCCCACAGGCAAGGCTATGGTTTAGCTAACTTTATGGTGCTGCTGCAGGAAAAAAGCAGGCCCATGGTATCTCCCATGGGGAAAGCAGAGCTGATCTCTGCAAAAACACAGCCCTAATTCTGCACTTTCCAAGAAGATGACAGACATGCAGCGGGGAGGGGGCTTAACACCTCCCATGCCTGCCAGGCCTCCTTGGCAAAAAGTCCCTTGATGTCATCTGCCGCCCCAACCCAGCGGGCTCCACTTTCAGTTTAAGAATCTGGCTGTGTGAGAGTGTGAGAGAGAGAGCTAAAATGGCAAACGGGGATGATTTGCTGGGGGCAACTGTTTGGGGAAGGGTTAAGCAATTCTCCCACCCCATATCTAGCCCACTAGTTCTCCCTGGCACCAGCCCCTGTTTCTCCTTTGCAGCCTTGAGTTCTGCTCTCAGAGACCAGGGGGCACACCAGGGCCTTACACCCAGGCCTGGGTGCTTGGACGTTGTCATAGGAGAGCCTGCCAACACGATGAGGGGATCCCCGTAGGAAGCTGAACGTATCTACGGCAGGAATCCCTTGCCATGAGAAGGGCTGTTTTGATGCTCTCCTTGCCAGCTGGCCTGCAACTCTGAAGCAGGAAGGCAGTGGGAGAACTCTGCATGGATTCAGCCCAGGCTTGGGGTCAACAGGGTTCTTCCTTTCCCCTCCCTGATCTGGGGTGGGTTGCCGAGGCCCCTGGTCAGAGAGTATTAATTTCGTATCTCCTGCTTGCCCTCTTCTCTACTGGCTTTCTTCCATAACTTGCACGCTGTTGTCGAAATGCAGAGTGACTCTGGTGTATCGGTTTCTGGGCCCCCACATTGATTCCTAGGAGCAAGATGCTTTGTAGGGTTTCTTAAATCGAGGATTGCAGAAAAGAGATGTTGTTATGTACATCAGATGGGTTTCTAAGCTTTAGCAGGGTGCAGTCCACTGGGAAGCTTCTGTACATGTCATAGAACTGTAGGGCTGGAAGGGGAATCATTTAGTCCAACCCCCCACATGGCAGCAATAACAGGTAAAGAGCCCCTGACAGTCCCATTTCTCATGGATGTAAGCCCCCCATGCACAGTGGATTGATGTCAGTGAGGAATGGGGTCATGGCAGCCTCTAATTGATGTCTGATTGGTTGATTGTCTGCATGAACACCATATGGCTGGAGCCCTCTTCACAAGACCTGGAACTGCAGAATCACAGAGTTCCTGGTCTTGCCAACTTGCCTTTTCTGCAAGGAGAATTGGATGCTGAGAGAGGCTCTTGAGAAGCCAAAATGAGCCTGCGGGATCAGACCAGTGGCACACCTAGTCCACCACCTTGTTCTCACAGTGGCCAGTCAGATGCGTATGAGAAACCCACAAGCAGGATTCAAGCACAAGAGTCCTCTCCTCTCTCTGGTTTACAGCAACTGGTATTCAGAAGCTCTGCAGCCTCTGTGCCTGTGGAGGCACAGCATAGTTATCATGGCTGGTGACCATGGCTGGTAGCTTCTCAATAAATGTCTTCCAGCAGCTGCCCAGGCAAATCTAGTTCACCATCCAGGGCTTCTTACGTCAGGGAGTGAAACAATCCCCATCTTTTCTTTTTTCTTTTCCCCTGCAGAGGAAGGTAACTTCTTGGCCTTGGACCTCGGTGGCACAAACTTCCGGGTCCTGAGAGTCAAGGTGGCTGATAATGGCAGCAAGAAAGTAGAGATGGAGAACCAGATCTATGCTATCCCTGAGGATCTTATGCGGGGCAGCGGAGTGCAGGTGAGTTGAGCTGCCTTCTCTTGGCCATCAGGAACCTTTTAGCACCATTGCTCTTTCCTGTTGAAAAAGGAAGCTAAATCAGGGACGGTCGTACTTCCAAAGATGGGGAAGCAGTGGCGAAGGACTGCAGAGATAGGACCTCAGCAACCACGCTTAAGTGGCTGTTTAGATCTCCTGGGCCCAGGACAATTTGGCTTTAAAAGGGAAAAGCAGCACCTTGACTTGAGCTTGGAAACAAGCTTGTCATTTGAGGGCACAAAATTGTCACCTGCTCCAGTCAGCTGCTCAGAGACTTTGCTTGCCTTCTCTTAATTTCACACGATTTGTGATGGCTTCTTGGTCATTTGTGCAAATTCTCAACTCTTAGGGAAGCTGCTTAGAAACAGAGGGAGTTCTTAAATCGCACTGTTTCCTTGTGATGAAATGTTTTTGGGGAAGCTGATAGGATCCAGATTCATTTTCGAATCCTTTGACAAACGATTTCCAAGTCATTCAGGTTAAGCGGCAGTACAAAAAACAAAACAAAAATAGTGTTTGCAAATTTTCTGCTCCAAAAAAGGGTCCAGAATTCTGCAGTTTAGAATGAATGTTTTATCGTTAGACTCCAGCTGCCAAGTTCTGGTTTCAATGGATGTATATACTGTGTGTATAGTATAGAAATAAATAAGGTGGGTCCTGATGCCACCGTTGTCTGACCACAGCCGGCCTTCCTAAGTGTGTGTCTCATTCTCCGCCCCTCAGCTCTTTGACCACATTGCTGAATGTTTAGCTAACTTCATGGACCAACTGGAAATCAAGGACCAGAAACTCCCTCTGGGCTTCACTTTCTCCTTTCCTTGCTTCCAGACCAAACTGGATGAGGTAAGCTTGCGACTCAAGTTCTCCTGGGATTCGTGAGAGAGATGGTAAAGGCTCCAGGAATTCTGGAGGATTTCCTGCTTTAAACTTTGCCTCCTCCATGAATTCAATTAGGAGGCTTTGGAGAAGCTAATTTCTTGGCACCTGATTTGCAACATATGTGGGTAATAATTCTGGTCTGCCCCGTAGGGCCATTGTAAGAACTTACTAAGATGATGTACATGGAATACTTTCAAACATTCATGATATTAAGAATAGTTAACCCATGAGGAGGGTGTGTCAGGCACTTTTTGGAGCTCGGGACTTTTGTGTAGAGGAGAAATGGCTGTTTTGGGTGATAGAAACTGGGCTGGCTTCCCATTAGCGGCAGCACAAATGGAAATGTTACGATGATTATTTTATTTATTTAATAGAATTCAGTACATCACTTGATTGTAAAAGAACCCAACCAACCCTCAAAGCAATTTACAAAGAAAATAAAACAATACAGCTATCAGTAAAAACAACTCTTTAAAACATTTAAAAGATAGAAACAGTAATAAACTAAAAACAGATTAAAACCTACATTAAGCTTGCCTAAGCAAAAACGTTTTTCTCAAGTGCTGTAAAGAGTGCACTGAAGGCGCCTGCTTGATGTCAAGAGGCAGGGAGTTCCAGAGGACAGGTGCTGCTACACTGAAGGTTTGAGTTTTTACAAATGCAGAGCAGGTATCAGGTGGCACCTAGAGCACTCCCAGCTCTGCCAGTTGAAGTGGCTGAGTGGGCATATGCGAGCAAGGTGATCTCACAGGTTTTTATTGTGATCTTTACCCACTCTTCCCAGGGCTGGTCCCAGGGCAGGTTTGAAATTCAGTATTCAAAAGTTGAAACAAATTACAGTCCCAGGAGTTGGGTGGCCCAGGTAAGTCACATCTTGCTTGGGGATTATGTTCCAGGGAAGGCGCATGTACATAGAAACGTGTATACTCAAACCATTCCCTTGGAACTGCCTCCTTCTTTATGGGAAAACCCCACGCAAAAAGTGCTTCTAAGCTCTCTGCCTTCCATGCATTTTACCTGAGCTATTTCAACCGGCCAGCCTTCAACTGTGTAAAGCTGAAATGGCACAAGTTAAAGGTGCATTAAGTTGTGAGGTCCCTGTGTTACAACTACGGTGTGGGAAAGCTCTCTCTGCTTTGGAAACTGAACCTCTGTTTCTCTCCCCTGGCTGGCCTGCAGTTCCTTATTTCCTTTCCTCTTTTTCTCAAACAGAGCGTCCTCGTGACATGGACCAAGGGATTCAAATCCAGTGGTGTGGAAGGCCGGGACGTTGTGGGCCTCTTACGGGAAGCCATAAGAAGACGAGGGGTAATCTAAGCTTGTTGCTGTCTCTAAGATAGTTTTTGTGTGTTGTTGTTGTTGTTGTTGTTGTTGTTGTTGTTACTGTTACATTTACCGTATATACTCGAGTGTAAGCCAACTCAAATATAAGCCGAGGCACCTAATTTTACCACAAAAAACTGGGAAAACTTACTGACTTGAGTATAAGCCGGTTTACCACACCACAAATCTCCTGGTGGGCCGGAGTGCGTGTGCGTGTGTGTGTGCATGCTGGTGGCAGCAAAGGCGGTGGAGGAGGAAGGAGCAGCCCAAAAGGGACCCTCACTCGAGTATAAGCTGAGGGGGGCTTTTTCAGCATATAAAGATGTGCTAAAAAAGTCGGCTTATACTCGAGTATATACAGTATATCCCACATTTTCCTCCAGAGAGCTAAAAGGTGGCGTACATTGTCCTGCCCCTCCTCATTTAATCCACACGACAACCCTGTAAGGTAGGTTAGGCTGAGAAACTGTGACTGGCCCAGGGTCACCCAGTGAGCTTCAGGGTTAAGTGGGGATTTGAACCCTGATCTCCTGGGTCTTGGTCCAGCACTATGACCACCTCACTCTGCCCTCTCTAGAGCCCGGCAGCTGAATTCCTCCCGCTTCTCTGGAGCAGCAGAAAACAACCTTTCTCCCTCCTCTATAAAAGGATGTCACATAGAGGAGGGAGAAAGGTTGTTTTCTGCTGCTCCAGAGAAGCGGACACGGAGCAATGGATCCAAACTACAAGAAAGAAGATTCCACCTAAACATTAGGAAGAACTTCCTGACAGTAAGAGCTGTTCGACAGTGGAATTTGCTGCCAAGGACCTCCTTCTTTGGAGGTCTTTAAGCAGAGGCTTGACAACCATATGTCAGGAGTGCTCTGATGGTGTTTCCTGCTTGGCAGGGGGTTGGACTTGATGGCCCTTGTGGTCTCTTCCAACTCTATGATTTCCCCCAGTGTGTTGGAGGTGGCAGGGTGCATGCATGGCTGCCTGTGGAATCAATGGCCGTGAGATGGTCGCTGGATGAGCAGGAGCGATAGGCCCACTTCTTCGGCCATGCCCAGTCCTTGGTCCTCTCTGGCATCTTCAGGGAGGGCTGCAACCTGGAGAACCACTGCGGGTCAGTGTTGACACTCGCTCAGCTAGATGGGCCATTTCCACAGGAAGCTGCCTTCTCCCGAGTCTGAGCATTGGTCCCTCAAGGTCGGTGTTCTCCTCACTGGCTCTGCAGGATTTCACACAAGAGTCTGTTGCTGCACCACCTGGAGGTTCCAGGTGGACACAGACAGTGAACTGGACCATGCCATAACAGACACCAACATGGCGGCTACTCCATACACCTCTCGTATTAGGCAGCTGCCACTGAATACCAGTTTCTGGGGGGCACAAGTGGGCGTCTGCCTCTGCCCTCCAGTCCTGCTTATGGGCTTCCCAAGGGACTAAGGGGGCCTTTGGCCTGATCCAGTTGCAAAGCTCTTCTTGCCTCCTCCTGAGCTTGTCAGCTTGGTGGAGTTTCAGTTTCCCCTTGCACTTGGTGGGGTGGAGGCCTGTGTGTGAGGGCCCCCGGCCCCCATTCCCTTCCAGATGCCACATTTTATTCTTACTTTTTTGGAGTCAGGACATCGCTAGATGTTCATGGTGCCTCGCCCCCCCTTGTGCAAAGTGCCTTGGGGGTTTGGGGCTGTGGTGTGGGGTGAGCAGGGCCTGGGACTGACCCATCCAGACAACCAGCTCTTTCCCCACCCAGTTTCTGGAGCCTCATCCTGGAGGGGGAAATGTGGGTGGGTGTTTCTGTTTGCGTGGGTGTGAATGAAGTGAAAAGCAGCACAGTATATGCAGAAGAGATTTAAATAAGAAAGAAGAAAACCTGAGACACTTAGGAAAACCAAATCACACATTGCACTGTGGAGAGGGGGTTCTATGTGCCTGTATCTGTGGTAGATAAGTTAAAATCCCACCAAAGAGCATATAATTCTTTGGGATCCTCTGAGTCTTTGAGTTAATTTATGAGTTAATTTTTTTTCAGCTAATGCCAAACTCCACATATTTTTATACCAAAGCAAAAGTTGCACATCCTGTAAGGTTTTCCATTTTAGGGCAGCTGAGGTTCTGGCAGCCACCAGCCTCCAGGTCAGGAGTTCTTGAGAACTGAAATATTTCAGTTGATCACCCCCCACCCACACACACCCAGAAGCTGAAATAGGATATTTGAGTATTTTGGACATTTCTTGACAAACCATTGTTCAGAATTTGAATCAACGGTGGCCTTTTCCAACTTCCTGCTCTGTAGGACTTTGAGATTGATGTTGTGGCTGTGGTGAATGACACCGTTGGGACAATGATGACCTGCGGCTACGACGATCACAACTGTGAAATCGGGCTGATTGTTGGTAAGAAGTCTGCGGGGAGAGGAGGGCAGGGACATTTCCCCTACCTTTGGAAAGCACCTGAATTTCCTGCGTACCTGAGGCCAGCCTGCTTCTTATGTTATTTTGTAATATTTGTCTGTATTTACTTGTCTGTAAAACAAAACAAACCTCAAAGCGGTTTACAATTAAGATAAAACAATAAAATTAACATCCAGAAGAATTAACAACAGTAATTTAAGACTTTCCGAAAATAACAATAGACTAAAAAGAGGTTAAAATGCAAATAAACTTTCTAAACATCTGAATAGGCTTGTCTGAACAAAAATGTTTTTAGGACACACTGAAAATAGTACAGTCAGGGTGCCTATCTGGTATCAATAGGCAGGGAGTTCCAAAGTGTAACTACTGTCAGACTAAAAGATTGAGTTCTTACAAATGCAGAATGTGCATTTTGTGGCACCTATTGCATTGCTAGTTCCAACGATCAAAGCAGTCGAGGGGGCACATATGAGGTAAGGTGATCTCATTTGTCAAGTGGTCCCAAGCTGTTAAGGGCTTTATATACTAATTTGTAACACCTTGGACTTGATCCAGAAGCAAACCAGCAACCAGTGCTGATCTCTGAGCACAGGGGTTTGATGCTGACACAGCCACACTCCTGTCAGCAATTGCGTTGCAGCATTCTGCATTAACTGCAGCTTCCAGATCAAGTGTGAGGGAAGCCCCACACAGAGCGCATTGCAGCAGTCCAGATAGTTTGATCCCTCCATCTCACACGCTGTCTTTTGACCTGCCAAAAATATGTCTTAGAAAGTAGTGGCGGCTTTTATTTAGTCTCTTCTGGTACTTTGCTTGCAGTCGCAGAGCCCCATGAGTGTTCCGGGCCAGAAAGGCCAGGAAATAAAGCAGGGGCAGGGGAACAGGACACCGTCCAGCCTCCAGAAGTCAACCTGGCCAACAGCCAGGGATGATGGGGGCTGTCCCTCAGTGGCATCTGGAGAGCACTGTACTGGCTGCCCTTGAAAGTAGGAAAAGGGTGGGAGGCTCCAGCTGCAGGTTTTCCACTTTCATGGACTCTCCTAATCTCTCTCTCTCTCTCCCCCTCCCTCCCTTTAGGTACAGGTAGCAATGCTTGCTACATGGAGGACATGCAGCACATTGACCTTGTGGAGGGCGACGAGGGGCGCATGTGCATCAACATGGAGTGGGGAGCTTTTGGCGACGATGGGGCCCTGAATGACATCAGGACCGAGTTTGACCGGGAGATTGACATGGGCTCCCTGAACCCGGGAAAGCAGCTGTAAGTCCTGTGCCTCAGCTGCGGTTTTTTTAAAAAAAATATTAACCCTGGGTAGCATCAGAAGGGCCTGCTGGGTCAGGCAGAAAGGGCCCCTTTTGCCCAGCATCCTGTTCTCACAAATGCCTGTTGTAGGAAACCAGCAAGCAGGCTTTGAGCACAAGATCCCTCTCCCCTCCTGTGGTTTCTGGCAACTGCAGTGGGGCAGGAGAGCTGGAAAATAATCCACATCTGGCAACCAAAATGGCCCTTGGGTTTCAGCTAGAACGTGGGTAGACAAGTCTAAAAAGCAGGGACACAAATTTTCACGGTGGCTCATTTATCAGAAGTAATGTATCTCTCATTGACCCTGGAAGTGTACACTCCATTCTGATTTAGCTCTAGGAAGGCTTGCCTAAATAAAAAGGTTTTCAACATGCACTGAAAAGAGTACAGTGAAGGCACCTGCCTGGTATCAATAGGCAGGGAGTTCCGAAGTGTAGTGCTGCCACATGAAAAGATTGCTTGCTTGCAGGTGTGGAATGAGTCTTATGTGGTAGCTGTAACAGTGCCAATTCCACAAATCAAAGCAGTTGAGAGGGCGTGTCTGAAGTAAGGCAATCCCGCAAGTAAACTAGTCCCAGTTTGATTTTGGGAATATGTTTGCTGGCTTAAAGCAGGATATTTAGCTGGTACCAAACAAGAACCTGGGAAGTGCAGTGAAAGTTCTGCAGGGGGGTATATGGTTGTTGAACGCTTCCCCTGCCCAAGTGCTCCATTTTCTTTGTGGGGGGAGAGGTGCAGGATGTATGGAGGGGCTGTCATTTTCACAACTCCTTTGAGGGCTGAGCTCCTGCCCTACACATTCTTGCCACGATGGAGTCATATGCAACCCAAACTATCCATCAAACTCCTTTTCAAGTTTATGGTGTGTTGGAGCTTCAGTTTCTGCTGCTGCCCAAACTCAGTCTCTCGCTCTCTCACCTTGGGGTGTGTCACAGGTTCGAGAAGATGATCAGCGGGATGTACATGGGTGAACTGGTCAGGCTCATCCTGGTGAAGATGGCCAAGGAAGACCTCCTCTTCGATGGGAGACTCACTTCGGACTTATTGACGACGGGACACTTTGAGACCAGATACGTCTCTGCAATTGAAAAGTGAGTGAATGGGACTCGCCTTGTGTTTTCTGTGCTCCTAAATCTGTAGCTTTGGAATAGCCAGAACAAATCCTCCTTGGTGTTTTCCCCATGCGCCTTCTCCGGAGGGATCCTAGGAGCCCATCCTCAGTGGCCGACTCACCTCCTTTTTCTCTGACCGACTGCAATCAGCACAAGGGCTGAGACAGGCATCTCAGTGGCTGAAAAGCTCCCCTTTCACGCTGACTGGGTGGCCCTGGGATGCTGGGGACAGGGAGCCTGTTTCAGAAATAGTAAAGGACCTTTGACTCCCCACGACCCCAAAGCACCCCCCTCCGCTGCGCAGGAACTGCTGCCTCTTACAGACCCCCTTTGCTTGCCATCCTGGATTTGCAGGGAAAAGGAAGGCCTCCTGAAAGCCCAGGAGATCCTCACGAAGCTGGGCCTGGAACCCTCCCATGAAGACTGTGTCGCCACCCAGCGCATCTGCGAGATTGTCTCCACGCGCTCGGCCAACCTCTGTGGCGCTGCCCTGGTGGCTGTGCTCCGGCGCATCAAGGAGAACAAGCGCGTCGAGCGCCTGCGCTCCACTGTTGGAGTGGACGGGACGGTGTACAAGAAGCATCCTCAGTAAGTGGAGCAAGCAAAGCAGCCTTCATAGCAATGGGGGGTGGGCAATTTGGGGTTATTCGAAAGCATGCCTCTTGCGTGCCAGTCCTAGAAGGGGATGCTATCCCAGAATGCTCCCTCAAACATTCCTTGTAAAGTGCTTGGTTTGCAGCAAGGGCAGACTTTTGGTCTTTCAAATTTCACCAGCGAGGCCAATATCCAGCTGCCCCCACCTCTCACCTTTCATTCTGCATGTGCGCAAAGTGATAGTTGTTGCACCCTGTGGCACCTCCCTCAACTTGGCACCCAGTGCTGGGGAACTGGTCTCACCGCCCTAAATCTGCCTCTGTTTCCACACCCTTGATCACCTTGGCCCCCGTCCTCTTCACCCCCCCCAGCTTATCAAGATGCTCCTTCAACTGGGGTCTTCGCTGTCTGTGCTCAGGGAGTTCATCCTTCGGGGAGGGAATCCATGGTCCTCCAGATGATGCTTTCCCTGTCTGCCAACACCAGTGATTTCTGGATGTGCCATGGGTGTGTTTGTAATGGTTCTCTCCCCTTGCCTTGCACAGCTTTGCCCGCCGCCTTCAGAAGATGGTGCGCCGCTTCCTGCCCGATTGCGACATCCGATTCATCCGCTCAGAGGACGGGAGCGGGAAAGGCGCGGCCATGGTCACTGCGGTGGCTTACCGGCTGGCAGCCCAACACAAAGCGCGCCAGAAGATCTTGGATCCTCTGAGACTCAGCCGGGAGCAGCTCCTGGAGATAAAGAAGAGGATGAAGGAGGAGATGGAGCGGGGCCTGGGCCACGAGACGCATGACGAGGCCACTGTGAAGATGCTGCCCTCTTACGTCTGCTCCATCCCAGACGGAACAGGTAAATTGGGATGGAAATAATGGACAGTGTCCTTGGCCAAATCCGGTTGGCCACTTGTGTGCATCACTTGTATTGGAGCAGGACTTGGGAGACACGGTTTCAAATCCCCACTGAGCCATGAGCAAGTCGCAGCCTCTCATTCTAGCCTACCTCACAGGGCCATTTTGCGGATGAAATGGGCAGGAGAACTATGTGCACCACATTGGTTTCCTTGGAGGAAAGGTGGGATCTAATAATAAAAGTAATTAATAATATGACCCCTTTTGGCTTATGGCATCTAACCATGGGGGTGTCAATATGTGTCACAGTGGTTGTGGTGGTGGCAATTCTGGCCTCTTTTAATGGGGTGGGAAATTATGCTGTTTTTCCAGAGTGCCATTAATTTACTGCCTCCTTTAAAAAGAGGACTGGAGGATTCATGGAGGACAAGGCTATCAAAGGCTGCTTGTGGCTCTGCCCAGCCACTGCAGTTGGAGGTAGCTTCTGAATACCAGTTGCTGGAAGCCACAGGAGAGGAATATTGTGCTGGCATCCTGCTTGCAAGAGTTCGAAAAAGTCTCTGTCAGACACCTTTAGGGAGCAGATCACTACTAAGTCTTGTGTCTGAATTTGCTGGTGTCAGAAAGCTTTCTGTTCTGTCGACCTATTTTCCTCCCTCTTCCCTCTCCTCAGCAAAGCCTTTTTTTATGGACCCTGTGAAACTGTTGGAATAAGAGACATGACTTTGCATGTCTGGAGTGCAATAACATTTTGCTTTAGAAGCTCTTGTTCTTAAGAACATAAGAAGAGCCTACTGGACCAGGTCGATGAGCCATGCAGTCCAGCACCCTGTTCTCAGAGTGACCAGCCAGATGCTTCTTATGGGAAGCCAGCAAGCAGGATCCAAGCACAGAGTGCTCTCTCCTCCTGTGGTTTCCAGCGACTGATATTCAGAAGCGTTGCTGCCTCCAAGACATGGCCATCCTGGCTAGTAGCTTTGTCCTCCATGAGGTTGTCTAATCCTCTTAAAGCCATCCCGGTTGGTGGCCATCACAGCCTCCTGTGGGAGGGAGTTCCATAGTTTAACTCTGCAGTGTGTGAAGACATACTTTCTTCTGTCTGTCCTGAATCTTCCAACATTCAGCTTCATTAGAAGCCCATGAGTTCTAATGTTATGAGAGGAGAAAACTGTTTCTCTCTCCATGCCTTGCATAATTTTATAAACTTATACCAAGTCATCTCTTACTCACCTTTTCCCTAAACTAACAAATCACAAACACTGCAACCTATCATTTCAGTTTTCTCCACTGCCCTTTCTGGAGTCAGAAAGGAATTTTCACATGTGCCAGGTTAGCCAGAGCAGCCTCTGCCAACCTGGTGCCCTGCAGATGGTATCTATCTCAACACCCATACTAGAAGGCAGGTCTAACCCATCCCACCCATCTAAAAGACACCACAAATAGTCCTCTGGGTTCAAGTGTCCTTGGAAGATGGAGGGGAGAGGAGTGCTGATGGCAAGTGTGTCTGTTTTTGGTTCAGAAAAGGGGGAGTTCCTGGCCTTGGATCTCGGGGGCACAAACTTCCGGGTGCTGCTTGTGCGCGTGCGGAATGGGATGCGGCGAAGTGTGGAGATGCACAACAAGATCTATTCGATCCCTCAGGACATCATGCAGGGGACAGGAGATGAGGTGAGCAACTCAGTGCAACACCCACAGGGATCAAAATGGGGTCTTTGACTTCTGAGAGGGTCAGAGAAAACTGTAGCTGAGCAGGAGAGCTCTTGGTTTGCATGCAGAAGGTCCCCGTCAACCACAAGATCTTGTTCCACATGGCTGGGAACACCCATGGCAGTCAGAAGAGATGGTGCGATGATAGATGGACCAGCTGTCTGACCTGGTATATGGGGATCCTTTTCTGGCCAAAGCGCTGCCTTCTGGGCCTGTTATATCAGAACTCCTTTTTGCAGAGTGCCTTTTCTTCGGATAGTAAAGGCCCTGAGTGGTGTTTTTACAGACAACCCTAACCATTCAAGCTCAGTGCTTGCAATCTATGTGTTATTATTTACTTGAGACATTATTTGTTACATTGGATTTGCACTGTGACAAAGGCTGGGTCCCTTAGGCTGGGTCCACTTTCCCTGGAACATCTCTCTTCTCCACCAATAAAAAAAGACATTTCTGCCTGAAATGTTTCCTTGAGCACTTTGGGCAATGAACCTCATGCTAAGCTCTTGCTGCAATGGGGTTGTGCGGGCCGAATTAACTGTGACATAAAATATGGTTTATTCAGAGAAGGGCCTCAGCCGCACCCTGGAGCCTGTGCCTTAGTGCAGCGATGTGCATGCACTCTATAGAGACCGAGGCCATCCTGGCCTTTGCAAACCTGGTGTCCTCCAGGTGTTTTGGACTACAAGTTCCATCAGACAGCACAACTAATGGGATTTGTAGTCCAAAAGCACCTGGAGGGCATCAGGTTGCTGGAGACTGGCTTATCCTGTTCCCTCTGCTGACCTCCCTCAAGAGCCCCCCACTGCCCTGTCCAGAATGCAGCCCTTATCCCACAATGAGGAAGTTAGTGGCTGCATTCCCAAGATTGCTTTAAATGATGTTGGTAGTTTGCAGAAGAACTTTAAATGCAAGATGGCTTCAAATGATGCTGGTAGTTTGGTCCAGGATAGAGAGCAGCTCAGTCCTGCTCACTTTGTGATGCCAGCAAGACCCACCTGAGGCCCCGTTCAGCTGCTCTGAGCCGTCTTCTCCCGACTCCATTTTGCACTTCTGCCTTTCAGCTCTTTGATCACATTGTCCACTGCATTGCTGACTTCTTGGAGTACATGGGGATGAAAGGCGTGTCGCTGCCTCTCGGATTCACCTTCTCTTTCCCTTGTCACCAGAACAGCCTGGATGAGGTGAGCTTCGTTTGGCTTCTCCCTCCACCGTAAGTCATTCCTGCAAGCACAACATGCTAGCCAGCTGCAAAAAGGACAAGACAATGTGTTTTACAACAAAGCTGGCTCATTAGGCTAAGTGGAGCTATCAAATGCAATCTCTGGCAGAGATTTGGGGGAAAGGAAACTAAATGCTGGCAAAGTTTTCCTGCTAGCACACATCACGCTAAATCAGCCTTCCTCAGTCTGGTGCCTTCCAGATGTTTTGCACTATTGTCACATTGGTCCCTGCATCGTACAGGCTTGGGTTGATGGAAGCTGTAATCCAATCAGGAGGGCACCAGGATGGAGAGGATGCACTGAATCATAGTCTAAGCTGATGTGCAAACATGGCGTGCTTGACCTTGCAATGATCCTAGGATACAGTTCTTGAATTGCATCCTTTTGCTTTTATCAAGGGAACTGTACCCTTGACAATTTTGTGTTTGCATAACTTCTTTCTTCTTCTCCTTCTTCTTCCTCCTCCTCTTCCTCTTCTTCTTCTTGTCTTAAGGCAATTCTCCTGAAATGGACCAAAGGTTTCAATGCTTCTGGTTGTGAAGGGGAAGATGTGGTTAGCCTGCTGAAGGAGGCCATTCACCGGAGAGAGGTACGTTCCTGTCAGACAAGTGTGACAAAATATGCAACTTGTGCCTCAGATCAGCCTCCATACCTGAGGATGGGGAAGCAGCCAATGTAACACTGGTTTTGAAAAGAGATCCTGGAAGTATCAGGCTAGTTAGCTTAACATCTGCCCCAGGAAAACTGGTGGAAAGTATTGTTAAGGATAAAATAACCAGGCATATAGAAGAACAAGCCCTACAGAAGCAGAGCCAGCATGGCTTCTGCAAAGGCAAGGCCTGTCTTACAAACCTATCAGAGACCCTAAAAATCTAATAAAATAATTTATTGGTTGTGATCAGAGGAGTACTGACCCAACAAGCAGGGACTGTACCATTGGAATGGCCTCTGCATGCCTAGTTTATTTTGTGTACTTGATCCTTGTTTTTGTGTTGGTGGAGGTCATCCGCCCCTGCCCCCCCGGCTGAATTTTGGAAAGATTCTGGCTTTCATTCAGCACCTGAGGCCAAACCTTTGCTCCCTCTTTCTCAGGAGTTTGACCTGGATGTGGTGGCCGTGGTGAATGACACAGTGGGCACCATGATGGCCTGTGCGTACGAAGACCCCTTTTGTGAAGTTGGGCTCATTGTCGGTAAGGTTTCGTGTATTCATTTATTTAATGAAATGTATAAGTATGCATAAGAAATGTATAAGAAACACACAAATATGAATGTGTGTGCACGTGTGTTCACACATGTGTGTGGTAGCCAGACCTGCTTTTGGCAACGCCCACAGCTGTCTTGTGAGCACCATGCGGCTGGCAGAGGCTGAATGCAGCCCTCAGGCCACGGAAGTTCGGCTGTCGCTGCTCTGGTCCCTGTTTACTACCCTGCCCGCTTGCAGCAGGGTGTCTCTCCCCCCCCCCCCCCGTGTGTGATGCTGACCTGTGTTGTGGCTTCCCAGGCACAGGCAGCAACGCCTGCTACATGGAGGAGATGAAGAACGTGGAGCTGGTGGACGGGGACGAGGGCCGGATGTGCATTAACATGGAGTGGGGGGCCTTTGGCGACAGTGGCTGCTTGGATGACTTCCGGACGGAGTTTGATGCCGCCGTGGATGAAAACTCTCTCAATCCTGGGAAGCAAAGGTGGGTGGGAGGTTTTCCCTCCTCTTCCTCCTCCTCCTCCTCTGTGTCTAATACATACCAGCCTCCCATCAAGGACTCTGTAGGGGATGTTTCAGGTTTGCTAAAGTCCTTGTTCGCTAAGCTCCTCCCGATGTTCTTATGGAGGGAAGGTATCTTCCCATGGATGCTTGCCTCTCCATGCTGATCATGTTTACTTCTAAACTGAATTTCCCTCGCAGCAAAAAATAAAAATGAAATAAAAACCCCTTCCCCTTTACTGTCTTAGGTTCGAGAAAATGATCAGCGGGATGTACTTGGGTGAAATTGTCCGAAACATACTGATCGATTTCACCAAGCGAGGCCTGTTGTTTCGTGGGCGGATCTCCGAGCGGCTGAAGACGAGGGGAATCTTTGAGACCAAGTTCTTGTCTCAGATTGAGAGGTAGGTTGGGGGCAAAATGGTGGGCTGGGCGGGAACAACCTAAAGGCAAAAGCGGTTTGGAAGTGGAGCCAATTGCCTCTCCCACCCTCTGGAGGTATTTAAGCAGAGGATGGACAGGCTGTCTGCTGGGGTTGTGGCCATTTCATCCTGTATCGCAGGACTAGAGGACCTCTGCTCCTGTGAACCCTTTGTCCCCTGAAGCCACGTTCACACGATACGTATAAAGTGCTGTGATACCACTTTAAACCGTTACGGCTTCCCCAAAAGAGCTTGGGGAGCTGCCGTTTGTTATGGTGGGTGAGAGTCGTGAGGGGGCCCCTATTCCCCTCCCCAAGCTACAATTCCTGGAGTGGTTTAACAACTAGTCCCTCTTCCCAAGGAACTCTGGGAATTGTGGTTCTGGGAGGAGAATAGGGGCCTCCTAGCACTTATCTGTGTGCTACGCGAGTGGCGCTGTGGGTAAAACCTCAGCGCCTAGGACTTGCCGATCGCATGGTCGGCGGTTCGAATCCCCGCGGCGGGGTGAGCTCCCGCCTTTCGGTCCCAGCTCCTGCCCACCTAGCAGTTCGAAAGCACCCTTAAGTGCAAGTAGATAAATAGGTACCGTGTTATAGCGGGAAGGTAAACGGCGTTTCCGTGTGCTGCGCTGGTGCTGGCTCGCCAGAGCAGCTTCGTCATGCTGGCCACGTGACCCAGAAGTGTCTCCGGACAGCGCTGGCCCCCGGCCTCTTAAGTGAGATGGGCGCACAACCCTAGAGTCGGACGCGACTGGCCCGTACGGGCAGGGGTACCTTTACCTTTACCTTTTAGCACTTATCTGTACCCTTAAGAAACTACAGGGTCCAGAATTCTTTGTGGGAGGTTGTGACTGTTTAAAGTGGTATCATAGCGCTTTAAATGTATTGTGTAAATGTGGTCTGAGTCTTGTAGGAACTTTTCTGTGGAAGAGGTTACTTATGAGTGACTCCCAGTCTTCTGGGTGCTGGACATCAGCACTGGCCAAAGTGTGGGTGGGAATGACAAGACTCTGCAGGGCAAGGCGGAAGAGGAAGCGATGTGTGAGATGATCCTTTGGGGAGCCTGCCTGGGCCATTGTAGAGCTGCCCAGTCAGGGCTGCATGGCTTGTTGGCGTAGCCTGAGAATCAAACATTGCACTGCACCATTACCAGCATTCATGTGTTTGATTATATTTATTTCACAAGATTTATGCATACTTGATTGTTAAAAACACACACCTCCATACAGTTTGTGAAAAAGATAAAACAGCAAAATTATCAAGGAGAAAAATGAAGAAAAATAAATTTAAACTTTTAAAAAGTTGAAATCAGATTAAAACTTTCTGAACATCCGGGCAGGCTTGTCTAACACAAATGTTTTTAGCAGACACCTGCCTGATGTCCAGAGGCAGGGAGTCCCCAAGTGTAGGTAAGAGACCGAGTCCTTACAAATGCAGAATGAGAATTTTGAAGCACCTGAAACCGCACCAGTTCCGCAGATTGAAGTGGTCAGGAGGGCATACGTAGGCTCAGGTTATCTTGCCGATAAACAGATCCCAAGTTGCCAAGGGCTTTGCATACTAATAATAACACCTTGAACTTGGCATAGGAGCAAGTCAGCATTAAGGGCAGGTCTCTGAGCACAGGTGTTCTGCGCAGACAGGGTCTCCTTCCTGCCAGCAGTTGTGCTTCATCATTCTGCACTGACTGCAACTCCCCACCTATGTGGCTCTCGCTGTGAGATTTGCTGCCACCTGGTGGCTAGTGAACCTACTGCATAGCATTCTCTCACTGGCACCCGAATTCCAGTGGTATCTCCCTTTGGGCACAACTGGGCAAGACCTTGACCCCGTGGCCAAAGCCTCTTCCCACAAACATTAGCAAAGGAAATATGTGATAGGATGTCTTCGTGATGTTTTCTCTCGATTAGCAGCAAGGCTGAAAAAGAGCCAGGGTGATACAGTGGGACTAGGAATGTTGGACGAGGGACTGGGAGACCAGGGTTCAAATTGCCATGAAGCTCACTGGGTGACCTTGCGCCTCGGGTCACTCACTCCCAGCCAAACCTACCTTGCAGGGCTGTTGTGGTGATTAAGTGAAGAGGGGGCGAACCCTGTACGCCACCCTGAGCTCCTGGGAGAAAAAGGAATAAGTGTGAATGCAATGGCACTGCAAAGCATAGTGATATCACCACAGGGCCCTTTTTTCTGAAGGGATGTGACGGGCAGAACTGGACTGCCATGCTCAGCGTTGCAGGGTCTGTTGCTGCATCTCACTAAATATTTGAAATATTTGAATGAGGGACTAGTGGGATTCTGCATGGTGTATTCCTTTGGAAGCAACTCTCCAGGAGTCTGCAAGTTTTGGCCAACCAAAGTGCAAGCTCTTCCTGACCGTACCTCCAAAATGCAGGCAGGGTCTGGGACAGTCCCCAGCTCTGAGCACGGAGGGGGAGAGGCGGACCTTGCATGCTCTACCGCTAGTCTTGGGTGGTCCAGGAAGAAAAGGCTCGGGTTTTATCTGGTTTGGTGCTTCTGCACAGCGCCTCCTAGCTTCAGGTGCCTGGAACTGCGATTCCCCTTCCTGCTCTACAGCTGGGGTAACTGGACTGCCTTCTGTCCATCCTGGCATAGCTGTCAAGAAGCGCCTGCCTCTGCTCCTCCCAACTTTCTCTCTCTCTTGACCCCTCCAGCGACCGCCTCGCCCTCCTTCAGGTCCGCTCCATCCTCCAGCATCTTGGACTAGAGAGCACCTGTGATGACAGCATCATCGTGAAAGAAGTGTGCACAGTGATTGCCCGGCGTGCCGCCCAGCTGTGTGGGGCAGGGATGGCTGCGGTGGTGGACAAGATCCGAGAGAACCGTGGGCTAGACTCCCTGAAAATCACTGTCGGCGTGGATGGGACCCTGTACAAGCTCCATCCTCAGTAAGTCTTCTTTCAGCAAGACCTTGCCTCTGGGAGGGCTGGAGGGATAGCGTTGGACCTGCAGTGTTGCTGCTTCTGCACAGAATTGGGAAGGGGTGGGGTGGGGCATGTGTGTGTTAATCAGGCTCTCTCTGGTTCTAGGACTTTAACCCATTCACCCAGAGTTGAGTGTATACTTTTGCAATAATATTCCTGCACCAAAGTCACCCCATCCTGCAACCTGATTCTGTGCAAAGTTTTGTGCTCTGAGCTCCTGGCATCTCCTCATCCCAGCGTGGCCTTGCTTGGGCCCCCTGCTTTTGTTTGCAAGCAGACCTGCAGCAAAAATAACTTCCAAACTCTTGTATGATTTCAACCAGCCTTCCTTCCTCTGTGTACAGTTGAAATTGTGCAAGTTAAATGTGCGTAAGATGTGGTCTAACTGTACAGTGTTTTGCATGAAATTAAGTGGGGGGCGGGGGCGGGGGGAGAAGATCAAAACTCCTTTACTTCTCATGTCTGCAAATACTTAAGATTAGAATTGATGGTACTTTTATTATTAATGGTAGGGCAAAGAAAATTAAGCCATAAGCAGCTTAAAATATAAAGGGGAGGGAGGAATGGGTGGGGTGACCAGGATAAGAGAGGAACGAGGTGCTTAGCTATAAGCTCTGCCTGCAATGGGGTGTCTGACTGGCTGGTCAGACAAATTCATAGAGTAGAGAGCTATTGGTAGCTACCAGACACATTGGCTATACTCTGCCTCCGTGAGATGCCAAATTGAATTCAATATTTTTTGGGGGGTGCATTTAAGCCCCACCCTGCATAATTGATCACAAGACACGGCACACACATGCCATTTGAATGGCAATGCCTATCAGCTTTTTTTGGGGGGGGTGGCCCCCTCAAATATTTTATGGGGGGGGACCTTGTCCCCTAGGGCTGACTCCTGTGCCAGAGACAGCACTGCTTCTGAATGCCAGATGCTGGAAGCCACAAGAGGGGAGAAGGAGGCCCTTGTGATCAAATACTGTTTTGGGCATCTTCTTGGCGACTGAGAAAAACAAACCCCTGTGTTGCAGTGAGAACCAATCACAGAAATAAAGACACAACATGTAGGCTAATAACTGTTAGAGCATATATAATAGAATAATGATATCATTCAAAAAGTAGAAATAAATCTGTTAGAGTTCATATATGCAATGTAACAGACTAGTGGCACAGAACGTTGAGCCGTGTGTTCAAGATAGGCGTCAAAGGTCAGTCTCACAATGGTTATTCAAAGGTTTCAACAGAAGACGTCTCAAAAGTCTAAAAAGCAAAGTTTTCTCAATCTTTTTCAAAAGTTTCATGTTCTGCGCCACTAGTCTGTTACACTGCATATATGAGCTCTAATAGATTTATTTCTACTTTTTGAATGATATCATTATTCTATTATATATGCTCTAACACGTTATTAGCCTATGTGTTGTGTCTTTATTTCTGTGACTGGCCACTGTGAGAGCAGGATCCAGAAGAGCTCTCCTCCTGTTCTTACGGCTAGCTTCCTCCCGACCCCAACTTATTCTACTCTCCCTTTTCCCGGCAGCTTCTCTACCGTCATGCGCGAAACCGTGAAGCAGCTCTCTCCTAAGTGCGAGGTGACCTTCCTCCAGTCGGAAGATGGCAGCGGCAAGGGCGCAGCGCTCATCACTGCTGTGGCGTGCAGGATCCGGGAGGCGGGCCAGCACTAGGCCCCCAGGTCAGGAGAGCTGGGCCCAGCGGATCCCCAGCTGCGCCTGCCCCTCACTCCGCTCAAGCCCTTGATCACCGCTGGCCGGATCCTCGCTTTACTTCTTCTCCAAAGATGCCACTCCTGTGACCCAAGGCCCTACATTCCCCATGCAAAAAGTGTCCCCTTTGCCCCTCTGCATGCCATACGAGCACATATCGAGTCAAGCATCCCGTGGTGTCTGCGTGTCTCCCTCACACCACTGCTGGTTCAAACCCAAAATCTCTCTCTCTCTCTTGCGTACACAGTGTTGGTGTTAGATCTCACCTGTTAACCTCCCCACAACCTGTGTCTTCCGTAAAAAAGGTGGGCAACCGGGACACCCGCGTTGCCGCTTTGCAACCTGTGGTCTCTGTCTGTGTCTGTTTCCAAACTGCAGGATCAGTCCTAGCAGAAGAATACAAAAGAAGGGTAAACCTGGCTTGAATATTGGGCTTGAAGGATCAAGGTGGTGCTGTTTCCATGAAAGCCACGGCATCTCATTGTTATTAGTAGTGTTGTTATTTTTAAAAGCACAGGGTATACCCATTTCAAGAGTAGAATGCTGTGGAAGGGTGCTGAATCCGGGGAACGTGGGAGCATTCTGCTGTCAAAAACACCTGTTTGCATTGCATTTCAAGGTGAAGATGCTAGCATGTGCCTGGGAGTGTTTCAGGGCTCCTGGGATGGTCCTGTCTTCCAGCCTGCTCTTCCTCCATTAGCACTGCAGCTTGGTTGATAGCGTGTGTGGAGGGGCTGGCCAGCACATCTGGGGGTTTGGTGACTGGGGTTGCATTGTCCCTGCTTTCTGCTGCTACTCCTGTAAATAGAGCAGTCACCAAACAGAAGCTTGTTTACCCCTTCCCTCAAAAGTTTTGCATTGCACTATCTTTTTACCTGGGTTTGGGGAATAACTTATTATATTTTGTCTGTGAAAATAGCACCTTCACCTTACCTCACAACTGGCTCGACACTTTGGAACAAATGTCTTGCGAGCTGTACCTCTCTTTCTGTATATAGTTGGGGGCTGGGGGGGTGTTCTTGTGTGAATAATAGTGTTGGCAGGAGTGCAGGGCTGAAGAGCATTTTGGGGGTTCTGACAAGCAAAAATGTTTCCGAGGGTGGGGTTGGTGGGTGGAGGGGTGGACAGGAGCAGTGGATCAAGACAGGGAGGAAAAAAAGGAGAAGGCTTGAGACAGTTCAGGGCTGATCAGAGGAATAGGAAAATGTGAAGCCTATCCGTTAGCAGAAGGCGAAAACTGGCCACGTTCTCATCACCACTACTGGAACTTCAATCTCTCTCTCTCTTTCTCTTTGGGCTCAGTCCTGTAAACACTTTTTCTGGAGCCTCTGTTCCTTTCGGAGGCGCACGGGTTTGTTGCAATGAATCGAGGCTGTGCAGCTGTGGTGCAAACTTGGGCTGTCTCTTTCACCTGCTACTCGGTTAGCGTTGGTGGAGCAGGGTAAGGGCTTAACCTGTTTGGGAAAGGCAACGTTCTGCATCTCTTAAGCATGCCATAAATCCACTAGTGGCCAAGTTTAGCCCTGAGGCCACGAGAGATACAGTGGGAAATGAATGGTTGAATGTAGAATGTGCTCCAAACCTTTTTTGGATTCTCATTTTAACTGGCAAAGGCCATCACTGAGCCCTTCTTATTGACTTCCAGTTGCTCACCAGTTTGGTTGTTGCTGAAAGGAGGAAATAGATGGTGTTTGCTAGTGGGAAATTGCTACTCTGGGAGAAACCGCCAAGCAGTGTGTTTGTACTACAATAAAGAAAAGAATATTTTTGGTATCTATTTAATGCAAGACAATGCCTGCCTGTGATGTACACAAGAAATCCTTGGTGAGGCTGTGAGTTTGAAGATAGATTTTCCCCTCTATTTTTTTATCTTTATATCTGTATCTATATATTTATATGGTTTGGAATAACTAGTACCAAAAGAGCATCTCCACTGGTGAGATCCTGAGGCAGATGAAAAGCACATTACTTTCTCCTCTTTTTTTTTAAATGTTAAATGTTTGCATATTTTATAAAAGTTTCAAAGTTGCAATGAAGATGAAAATTCTGAAAATAACCTCTGGGTAGAAATGGCAGGCTGGGAATCTGAGGAATGTCCCAACATCAAGATACATCAAGAGTATTTTTGTAATAAAAGAAAAAGAATTGACCAATGCAATACCAAACAGCTTTACGTAACGGTTTTACTGGAAATAATTATCCCATCCTGCTGAAGGAATTGAAACACAAGTCTTTCATCTATTGTATAATGGAGAAATTGATCATAATGTATATTTTTTTAACTTGAATATTACGTGGTTGCTGGATTGTACCTCCTCTGGAAAAAAATGTATTTCACTAGTAGTGAACTTTCTTTGGTGAACAGCAGGTTTTTATTTGATGGTGATTGTTTTATGAAAAGGGAAAACAGTAGCAATAAAATTATGTTTTGTGTGACAATTTGGGTCCAGACTCTCTGCCACAGTTCCATGAGGTGAAATGCAAAGGTCCCTAAATCATTTGGCCGGATTTTGAGAACATAAAAACAATCCTGATGGTTCAGAGCAGTCGTGGTTCCACCTGGCCCAGTGTCCTGTTCCCAACAGTGGTCAGCCTCTGGGAAGCCCACAGTAGCTGCACTCAGGAGGTCCTGGCTAGCTCTTAAGACTAGCAGCCATCAATAGGCTTTTCTGTTGATTTGGCCTAATTTTCCTTAGCTGTGCAAAGGGTCTCCTGCACTCTGCTCCTACCAGCTGTTTGGCTCTACCATGAGAGTTTCAGCAAGGAGCAGAATCTCCTTCAAGGCAGCCTCTGGAGAGTTTTTCCAGCAGGCTGGTGGAAGCTGCTATATAGACTATTTTTAATTCAGAGACAGCTCCTCCAGGGACTGTGACAGTCCCATCCCTATTCTGTATCAGCCAGAAGAGCAAAAACTCCAAAAAATAAAATTAAGGGCAGTGATTGGTACAGAAAACTAGAAATGTTGGTGCGGGGAAGTGAATTGGAAAAAAGCTTCAAAATACTTTCCCTTTCAGAATTATCGGTGAAATGATGTGAATTGCAATCTAGCAATGTTCATTCTGAAGTCTGAATCTGTTCTGTTTTGGCAGGATGATACTGAAGTCTTGAACATTATTTGTAAGGTAAATAATAGCCCTTTTTAGTTGGAGTCATAGGATTGTAGAGTTGGAAGGGACTTGCCCAACCCTCTGCAATGCAGGAATCGCAGCAAAAGAATCCCCAACAGATGGTCATCTGACCTCTGTTTAAAAACCTCCAGGGATGGGGACACTGCCACCTCAGTATTGCCGGCATCTGGTTTTAATTCTTTTCCCACCCTCAACTTAAGAAAAATGCAGGTTAGTGTTTGGAGGAATCTAATGAATTGGCTATACAGTGGTACCTTGGGTTACGAACTTAATTCGTTCTGGAGGTCCGTTCTTAACTCGAAACCATTCTTAACCTGAGGCTCGCTTTTGCTAATGGGGCCTCCTGCTGCCGCTGCGCGATTTCCGTTCTCATCCTGGGGCAAAGTTCTCAACCCAAGGTACTACTGCCGGGTTAACGGAGTTTGTAACCCAAGGTACCACTGTATTTGCATCTTACTAGTTGCATATAATAGACATTAAACTTTTCAAATTTAGAAACATAACCAATTTTGTTAATTTACGCTGACCTATGGCACTTCATTTCCCTGAAAGCAGTACAATTTAGGCTTGGCTATGCAAATGCTAACTAATGAATTGTCACTGGTAACAGCCAGAGTCATTGAAATGTGGGAGGACAACTTCCTTGGTGAAATGTGTGGAGACGCCACATACACCCCAGGCCTCTCTTCCCCCAAATGCTGAGTTAGCTCTTCAGCCTGGGTACCACTTCCAGTTGCAGGGGATGGATTATTGCATGATGTGATGTCCCCTATGTAGAAGATTCCTGCGCACAGGGAAGAAGTATCTCAATGGCTAAGCCATTGTTTCCCAACTGTGGCTCATGGTTTTAAGAAGTAAACTCAAAATTATACTGTAACTTGTAATCCCTAACTGGAATGTTGAATACCTCTTGCAGCTTGGGTCTTTGGTGTATTATAAAGCCTGCTCACAGTGCTACGATGTCCAGAGTTCTCTGGGAAGGAGGGTTGTTAAACCACTCTGACTCTCTCTGACTCCCCCAACAACTCTCAAAACCCTTGACAAATTTCACACTTATGCAACCCGCATGTTTTTGGAATAACTTTTTATAGCTCATGAAGCAATATTCTGCAGCCAGATGCCTGGTGCCCATGCATTTCCTTAAGCGAAACTGGGAATAACATTCCAAGTGCCACAAATACGTCAACAAATTCCACATCAGCAGGTTGAGTAAGCTTTTGCTTGGATGGCTCAGGTAATGGTTATGTAACAGGCAAGCTTACCATTAAAACTCAGGAAGCAGGCAGCTGCCAAAGACCCACAGTCCAAAATTCATGTGACAAAATATCTATGGGTCACCATACCAAGCACATTAGGACTTCTGGGTTGCTGTACTGAAAACAATGGAAGCCAGTGGGCTAGACTACAGTCCTTCCCCCACCTGCATCTAATTTTCTACATGGAGGTTAAGCACAGGTCCCCAGTTGTGGAAATGTGGCTTGAACTCTGTAGAAATGACATATGAAACAAGATCTTCCAGGAGACTCCTTGGCTGCTACACTATGAGCAAGTACGGAGGGGAGAGTACGACTCTCGTGCTCAAATCCTGCTTGTGGTTTTCCAGGAAGAGGCACCTGGTTGGCAGCCATGAGAACAGGATACTGGCCGAGAGGCAGGCTCTTCCTGTGTTCCATATGGAAACCCATATTTTCAAAACACCCCAGCCATTTCTGTAGCTGAAAAAGTTTGGCTGCCACAAGGATTAAAGTGTATTCATAGGGAACATTTCTCCTGGGTGTGGCAGTGCATGCCTTCCGGAGTTGAGGAATGCAGCCCTGGAAATCCCTGCCCAATTGCAAAAAGTCCAGACCATTAACCAAGATGGCTACTGAAGGCTCTGTGGAAATGGCCAGTTTGTGACTGAGCTGCATAAGGGGGTTTGGAGTGGGAGGCCCTGTCTCTAACACAGCTGGGAAGCCTCAGCTGGCTATGCTTCTTCCAGGGCCATTTAATCAACGGTCTTGAGGACTGATTCGCACAAACGCACATTGCCTGAAGACCTATGCGACCTGTGAGAACTAGGACTGAGGGGAAGTTTCAGAAATGCTTCTTTACGCAGCATGTAGCTGAACTATGGTATTGGCTACCACAAGATGCAACAATGGCCACTGAAGGATAGCTTTAAAGGAGGATTTGATAAATTCATGAATGGAAGGCACCATAAGAACATAAGAAGAGCTTCCAATGGCCCTTCTAGTCCAGCACTCTGTTCTCACAGTGGCCAACCAGATACCTGTGGGAAACCCACAAACACAAGAGCCCTGGCTCCACCTGTGGATTCCAGCCACTGGGATTTGGGACCCACTGTGGAGGCAGAGCATAACCATTGACAGCCCTCTCCTCCATGAATTTGTCTAATCCTCTTTCAAATCCATCTAGGTTGGTGGCTTTCCATCGGAGGGAGTTCTGTAGTTTAACTATGTGCTTCCCAGGTTGCGGACGGCTGATATTTACTAATAGCAAACCAATTCTAACTTCTGATCCTTATGTAGTCAAACCACACACCAGTCAGCAGGTTTGGTTTGCAGAAATGCAGCGTTTACAGATGTACCATTTTTTAAAGGGGGAAAAAACCTAAAGTGGGAAAACACAAAAATGTTGCATGAGGACTGAGCATGCTCAGTGGACAAAGCATAGTGACTGACTGTTGGGAAGGGAAATGGAAGATGTTATCCTGAAGGAGGGCATGGATTGATGGATGGAACTCTGAACAGGAGCCCTCCACTCTACTCAGAGTTGACCCACCAAAATTATTGCACTTCAAGTTTTGCACATCCATTTATTTCAATGGGGCTACTCTGAGGAGAACTTAGCTGGATACAACCATAACATGTTCTTGCAGATTGCACTTGTAATGGCAATGAATAATGGCATGGAAATAGTGTCTAAGGGTCTGTGGGTCCCAGGGGTCATAGGGCAGCTCAGACCTGCCAACATCAGAGAGAATGCTTTAGCATCTAAGATGGAGCCCCAAGGTCAGAACCTCCCATTCTGCGCAGGATCTCACTTCCAGCACTCCAGCTCAACCAACAGCAGAGCTCTGATATCAGAAGGGTCCGAAAGCAGGATGTTATGGGCATTCCAGGGGTGATGGCAGAAGCTTGAACCCAGAACCTACTTGGGGGCATGTTTCTAATGGGGGAGAAAAAATATACTGGTGTCAGTTTGGGGGGAGACGGGGGTCAGTCTGGATGAATCCCTGAGTCCCTTCCAGTTCTTGGAGTCCAGTACCCAGGGAGGGTTAGAATCTAACAGAGGAGGTTGCTGAACTAGTCCGGTAAGCTTCTGAGTGACCTTAAATGGCCACCTAAGTGTCCTCATCAGCATCCCAAAAGAATGGGCTAGGTTGCAAGAGCTACAACAAATGATGGTGGCCCTTTCTTCCACCTGCTCACCTAGCTGCTAGGTAGGATAATAGCAGCCAGTGTGTGAGAGAGAGACAGGTGAGCTGGAAGCAGGTTGGAAGATGGAGAAACAGAGACCTGCTTGCTCTGTGCTGGATCCAAAGTTGTGACACATGGAGAGGCAAGATCTGTTGGGGTCTTAATGCTGTGAGCCCCTCCATCTTATGTTCAGGTTGCATAGATGTGTAAATAAAACCATATATCCTAAAGACACCACAATCTCTGCTGACCTTCATTCCAAGGAAACATGGAACCACTGGATTCTCTCCCGCCTAGGAGATTGGGTGGGTGTTAAACTGTGGTCCCTGAACTTCATTCAGTGGCCCATGGTATGTCTCTAGATTTGTGACTGAAGAAATAAAAGAGGCAATAAAAATACAACTAAAATTGTACAGCACCTAGCACAGGCAGAATAATCAGTAAGTGGTCTGCCAAGACTCTCAGCATTTTTCAAGCGGTCTGAGGGAGGGGGGAGCTTGAGAATCACTCTGCTAAAGAAACACATTTTTAAAAAGCAAGCTGGGAACAACAGGGGAACACAGAACATTCCTTTGCTTCCAGTTTGATCCTGCCAGGATTGCAACATAAAAAAAAACACTCCACAAAGTCCTGGCAGGTAATAAAAATCTCAGACGTTCCTATATGTCAGAAGGACACTGAGACTCTTTTCAAGACATGGTGGACTGAACTTGTACATTTGAAACCTTCCCACAGATCCAGAATGCAGCTGCCAGGATGTTCGCTGGAGCAGGCAGGTTGCATTATAACACACCAACCCCGTACCGTCACCACTGCTTACCAATTTGTTTCTGGGTTCGGTTCAAGGAGCAGGTTTGCACCTCTGGGAGGTCACTTCGTTGCTACAAACGCAGGAAAAACCACACAGGAGGCAGCAGCTACAAGTTACCGGTCTCTGCAGGCACAGCAGGCGCTGTGATTCTCCAGTGGTTTGACTTCACACCCAGACACAGCGCACTCCATTGTCTCTCAAGACAGACGGATGCCAGCAGCAAGCCCTGAACAACTCTACTCAGTTCTCAAATAGAAAAGCAAGTACTTGGGCAGGCACCAGGTGGCGATATTGTGCTTTCAGTCAAGGTAGAAGAGTCCGTGATGCAGCTGTACAAGTCTGTACAAAGTAGGTAGATTAGCTTAGAGCTCACCCCCACTTCCTCTTGTGATGCTGCTTTCCTGGCGGGGGGGTCGCTCTTTAGTGCTCAGGCGGAGCAAATGGCAAGTCAGGTTTTCTCCGGATAGACGTTTGGACCGATTTAGAGCAAAAGAGCAGGTTTTCCCTGGGAAAGGTGTGGGGCAAGGGGGAAACAGCTCCAACTCCTGCTTTCTA